GAGGTGCTGGAGACTGGGTGTGTTCCCTAGGGTGTGAAGTAGTTGGCAGCAGGGGGTCTTCAATGTGGTGCACATATTAACAGGCAGCTGTGTGTCTGCAAACATATAGTAGGATGGTCTCCTCCCTGTCTGTCTGCTCGTATCATTTAGAGCATGCCCAGACCGAGAGCAGACAGCAGTAAAACATGAAGCCAGCCTGTCTGGGACTTAAAAGAAAAAGCAAATTGTTGCTATTTTTTTTTTTTTTATTATTTTTATCTATCACTGCCTTCATCCTCCACTTTTTTGTATATTTATTTTCCCTCCCTGCCCACCTAATGCTCCATTATGCAGGGGTGTAGTTGGATTGATGAAGCCCAGAGGTCACTTGACATCTTAATCATTTGTTTACACTTAGAACTAATAAATTAGTTTGAATGATTAAGCAAATGTGTGTAATAAAGGAAATCAAATTAAAGAGTGAAAATTGTGCTTGCATTTTTTTTTTTTTTTTTTTTTGCTTCTTTCCTAAACCACCTATCACTGCAATAAGACTTTTATAATAAATCACCCTGAGGATCATGGAGAATGGAAAGTTTTACTTCAATTTAATAATAAATCTAACTTTCAGTCAAATTAAACTGAGAAAATCTGTAACTTAAAGCAACTGAACCAAACATTTCTGTTGCTTTGGCAGCAAGTTTCGAATAGAAGGGGAACCTGGTTAGTCTCAAGTGTTTATGCCTGATTCTCTGAGAAATTCCCCTGATTTACCTCCATCCACCCTTCCATCAAGTCTTAACAGCTTTCTTGTCTGTATAAAAAAGCAAAGCAGCCTAGGAGCATGATGCTGCTACCAGGAGGATGATATGGTCAGGCTGGTGTGGGATGTTAGTTATCAGTAGCATCCATGTGTCCGTCTTTCACAGTTTTTTGCATATATCTCAAAAATGGTGAAGTAGCTTAAGCTGACTAGCTAATTCCACATATCTGCAGGGTCAGCATGTAGAAAACTTCAAATAGCTTTTTAAAATCTTACCAGTCTAGTTATTTTTTAGCAGATTGTACCACTGGTGCTGTAGATCTCGGCTGCTCTGTTTTTAGATTATCAATTTGCACAGCGCTTCATTACAGTAGATGCCTATTTTTATTTTTTTTTATCCAATCTCTTTATGAAAACATCAACACCAAAAAGTGCCAATGGTTAACACAGGTTCTCTAAAGAGGAGCATACATTTCTCTGCATAGTTTTTAGAGATTATGTTGCAACCAATTATTGGGTTTAGGGAAGTATATAATCTCACTGGGACCTGACTGGTTGGGTTAAACTTTTTAGCAACCTTATTTTGTGATTTATTTTTTATTTTTTTGCTTCTAGTGTTTATTTTAATCTAACAATAGAACTACTATAATGATCCAAAACCACAAACTAAAATAAAAAAGTAAGAAAATAACAGGAATCAACCTGTAAGTGTAGCATTAGTTTGCCATTGGATGGTACATCCCTGTTGGCTTAGATTTCTGCTTCCTATTTTTTAAATGAATGTTTAGTGTTATTCATCACAGAAAATCCCTTTTCTGTTTTGTTAAGCCATCAGATTCAGGCCTACTGAGGTTTGGAAAAGATGGCAAAAACATACTAACACGTCATGTAGGCACGTCTGGTTTGAATGTTTATCTTTACTCTCCATGACGATGGAAGGTTGCCTGGATTATTTGGAGACTTCTTTGCCTTTGGCTGCATTCATCTTTCCATTCTACAACCAGAAAGCAACTCATTAAATAGAGATCTTTAAAGCCAAGTCTCTATTTCTAACATTTTATTAAAACCAAAGTACATGAAAAACATTCCAAGAACAAGAACGGAACGTGTATCTCTAACAGGCTGCAAGCATCTGGTTATTATGGTTAGTTTAGCTGCAGCACACACCGTCTTTGGAAACTCACAGCCGACAAAAGCCAAAACCTAACCCAGTCAGTGTGGATTGTAATTCAACTCACAGTCCAACTGCACACACAGCCTTGGCTTTGCTTCACTTGGCAAGTGCCACAGCTTAGCAGCTTCATGAAAGGTAGTGTGTTAATGTAACAATTAAATCCAATTTTAAAAGGCTCATAATTTGTTGTTTTGTCAAGCTTCAGGTTTGAACTTTGTGACAATCTTTTTTATAGTGTAAACATTGCAGGAGCAAAACAAGAGTAAAATATTTAGATAATAGCTTTCTTGGTAGATGTTTTTTAAGTATTTACAAGGAATAAGCAGCACATACAGAATAAAGGCAGTTATTATTTGACATAATTGAGTTACAGCTTATCTGTGTTGCTGCCAGGGTTTGTTTTTTTTTACTCTTTTGTACAACAGCTCCACCTGCTGGAAAGAAATTTAATGCAACATAACTTTTTTAACTGCTATTAATCCATAAATCAAGATTGCCTAAATATTTTTTATTAGCAAAATTCTGAAATACACAATTTTGTTAGTATTTTTATTACGTTTGTCATCCGGATGTTTGGTAACATGGTTTGGGTGTCCTTCCACAAACTATTTGATTGTTGTAATTTTAGCCCATTCCTCTTGACAGAACTACTGTAAACTAAGTCTGATTTTAGGCCGCACTGTAATGTAGGATTTATGTCAAGAATATGTGACCACAAAATGCAAGCAGAATATGGGACCATTTTTCAACTAAACCAGCATGTTTAGGGTTCTTGTCTATTAAAAAAAAAAATCTGTTTCCAAGCTTTGAGGTCCTGGTTACTAATTTGAAAAATTACTTTAGTATTAAAAACCTCTACTTATTTGTTTCTAATTCCACATGATTTACATTGATTTAATTGCAGCTGGCATCAAGGTAATCAGGACACACTAATAGAATAAAAACCTATACTAGTATGACCCTCAAACTTTCTGATTTATTGCATTTTGCATAAATGTAAGCCATGTTTTGTAAAATGAGCTGGTCCCTGCAGATAAAATAGGCCTGTTGTTGACAGTTTGGTTCACACAAATAGAGCCATAATCATTATGGCTAATTAGTTCAATGTTAGCATGAAACCTCAGGATGTGTGTCCAAAAATTTTTATCTTAAGTTGAAATAATGGCTTCTTCACTTCTGAATGACTTTGGTTCTTGGATTATTATTTATGTTATGTCCTATAATTTTAATATCTGGAACATAAAAACTTAACTGTATGATGGCTGGAAATACCCAGGCAGTCTATACTTGAACAAAACTGTATTACCAGATTAATGTGGCACCTTCAGGGGCCAAACATGTGGAAGTTCATATTTCTCTTCCTGTTATCTTCTGATGTTTTTTTTTTATTTGACACAAATGTTTTCCTCAAACTGTAATCCAAACTCATCTAACTGTAACTTTGAAAAAACACTAGCATTTATCAAACATTTAACCTGATGTAATTTAGTTGGATTTAAAGGGAAGATTAATCTATAGTCTGTGTAAATACTACTGTGTTTTATATGATTAATACAATCTATGAAGTCCTTCAACACACAGCCATTTTACTTCAATGATAAACACTTTAATAGCTTCACAAAACATCACAGGAAAAACACCACAAAGATTAAAAAAGGAGTCACACAAAGAGCCAAACTGAGAAAAGACAAATTAAACCAAAGAAACAGGAGGGAAAGAGAGGAACTCGAGCAGGAGTAAACAGGCTGAGCTCATCCAAGAATATGTCAATGCAGCTACTTTGACAGCAGCTCTGTTAGAGTACTCTGTCGAAAATAGAAACCTAAATGTGTTCCCGAACATAGAAAAATACTTTCCAGTGGATCTGCCAGTAGCTTTTCAGCACCCAGCGCTGTTCACAATGGCAACAACTCCCCATAATTAAAACAAGATACTAAAATAGAGGGAGCACTGCTTCGCTCTGCTCCTACACACAAAACATTTACAAACACACAAAAATAAATCCTCCAGTTCAAACTTCAGCAGACATCCTGAGCAAACCATTTTATTATGATCAACTCAGAAGCACAACAGGAAAAAAAAGGAAAGTCATTAACCCTCAACTCTTATTTAAGGTGCTACAATTTAGGCATTTACTTCATCACTCAACGTGTAAAAAAACAATAAAAATAAAGTGTCAATTTAATGAGCTCAAAATGCTAGGGAGAAAAGGGAAAATGAGATAAGTACCATTGCCACAAATATACAAAAAACAAGTAGTTTTTTATTTTCTTTTTAAATAGTCAAAACATACTGATATGTTTCTGTACTTGATCCAAAAACAGAGCAACAAGAGCGAACTGCACACAACATAAACACAGCAGATGCTTGGCGTTTAGACATTTCTATCTTCAACTTAGTCAGCTTTAGCAACCTTATAAAAACATTTAATAAGCTGAAATCTAGTTTAAAGGTTCCTTCCACTATTCCTGCCTCGTTTCTGCAGAGTTTTATAAGTAAAAAACACAAGGGTTTGCCATGAATTTGTGTCAGATGCTTCCAGTGTTTATGCTCCAAATATACTAGTGTAAAAAAAAAAATAGAACAGACTGATAGGAAGTATTAAAATGGAAAGCACAAAGAGGGTAGGAACAGATAGAACATTAGAATGAAGGCAGGGAGGAATGACAAAAGGCAGGATGGAAGAGAAGAATGAAAGGACAAGAGGAAGGAAAAGAGAAAAAGGAATAAAAGGAGGCACGACTGTTAAAAAAAGAGAAGGGGCAAACTAGATAATGATGGGGAACACAGTCTTTATATAAAACATTCATCTATCCTGAAACTTCTGCATATGTTACCAAATTATGCATCCCTGCAACTGTGCTGTTCAAATCAATCAGGATAACTGACCAAAACATGGATTTTAATTTGCAGAACGTTAGATGTACTTGATGCTTCTGCATCCAACTATAGAGGGGTCTGAACATGAACTATTAAAGAACAAGCTAAGCCTTCATTACTTTTAATAATTAGCATCTGTCCATGAACGGTTTAATCTCTGACCACAATAAAACCCATTATCAAATTATAAGTTTATTATTATTGTTTGTTTTTTTTCCATAATCCCAGTTTGAAAAAAGGCTTTAAAATACGGTGCCCATTGAAACTCTTCTAATTTTATCCAGTTGCTGTAAACTGCTTTTAATTTTAAGTTTTAGATTGAAGGCTAAATTTAACCCATCAATTGTCCTAATGTAAAAACAAGCAGAAATAAAACATTTGGCACACCATCACTGTAGGTTTAAAGAACTACACAGCAGAGGTATTTCTCCTTTCAACTGGACCTTTCAGACGTATTCTGTCTTTAGAAGTTTTTGCTTTGCCTTTTTTGCCGAGCTGATTAGAGGTGGATCACTTATACCTCTGTTATGGTACACTGTCCATCAGGACTACGAGAGCGAAGGCTGAGGGCGGAGCTGGAAGGCATGCCTCTTGGAGGAATTCTGGTTTGCTGGCTCTCTCTTAGCGGCCTCCTTCGTGCTTCCGACTTCCCTCTCCTTCCATCACTCTCCTCTTCTTCTTCACTCTCACTGCTGCCTGATGCAGACTCATACCTGTGCAGCTCATCTTCTTCCTGTGCATCTTCCCCCTCAGGCTGGCTGATTAGGAGCTGAGAGAAAGATTGTTCAAGAATGGACGGTGATGGGGACAGAGGACTGTTAAGATGACGTCCGAGGAGTGTTTGGGGTCTAACAGGTGGAAGAGAAACCGTAATCCCAACAGATGAAGGCTGTGACTGGCTTGTAGAGTCAGAACCATCAGCTGAGTTTACACGATCTGCTGTTGTAGAGACAATCATCGGTAGAACAGGGACAGAGACAGGCTCAGAGTCCAACCTCAGTCCTGCCACGCCCTTCTTAGGGATATTAACTACGTCCCTCTTCATCTTACGTCTGCGACTGTGCTCATTCCTGCGATACTGCACCATATTCTCCAGATCTGCCACGTAAAGAAACCCAGCAATCAGCATCTCGGTGCTCTTCCTCCCCTTCATGAAGGCCTCCTCCAGTTCTCGACTCGTCCTCTCATCGTACTGCCACCAGCCGTTGCGCCCTTCGTAGTACCATGTGTAGTCTCCACGGGATTCACTCCCGTTCAGGTTCAGCCCAGCCGCTGCAGCTTTCAGTTCTTCTAGAGAGAGCAGAACTGGACGCTCCAAAAAGTCTTCTGGGATTTCCTGTCGACAGAGAGCACAGCGCTTGCTGTGCCAGGAGGCGCCTTTGACACACAGGAAACAGAAGACATGGCAGCATGGCAGACTGACGGGGTGGACGCAGCTCTGCAGGCAGATGGCACACTCCGGGGTCACAGCAGTGGTGGTGGTGGAACTACTGCAAGAGTCCTCTCCTGCTTCTTCTTTCAGCTTGGATGGAGCTGGAGCATTCACAGAGGCGGTCACTTCCCCAGAACTGGCCATCCTGCAGAGAGAAACAGGCTATTTAATATGCAGTTAAACGTAAGTTTTCTGTTTGAGCTTAGCTACACATGAGGCTGGGTGATATTACTAATATCTAATCTTAGTTTTTTTTCTACTATCAAACTATTTTCATTATTTCAATATTTTCAGTCGTCCCCTCTAGAAGGAGATATTCATTTTGGGGCATTAAGTTCAATCTGTGAAACATACTTTTAAAACAATCAGGGTTCACAACGAACAATGATCCAACAATACACGTTTGTAGCTAGTGGCATCACAGAGTTAGTTGTTAGACCTAGATATGAGAGCTCAAGGAAAGCATTAGCTAAACAAAATATTTTAAAAAGGATGAGTTGGGGCTTCTTCTTGCAGCAAAAATATGTCTGATCTCCAAATGCTTCGCCCTCCCTTCCCTAATTAAACAGAGAATCAGCCGGTGGCAGGGTAAACCTCCATATCACAGATTGGTTCCAGCCCCCCCTTACACAAACCCTTTAATTCAACGAGTGTCTACATGTAAACATAAAGGTGACGGGTTTTCCTGAGGGTGCATTTATATGTGCATTTGACAGTCACAGAAAAAGTGTATGAAACTTAAACACAAACTCGTGTTATGTTAAATTAACAGAGTGAGCTTAATATGTTTCATCCCAGTGGGTTTGTTTCCTTCCCCACTCCTGTTTGCTGACACACCCTCGAAACGCCCTTACACTAAAACCTACACTAACGTCTATAAATTGCTTATATCTAGATATAAATTAAACGAATCTCTTCTAAGCAACATATATTCTCGTCATTTCTCGTTCTAAGATATAAGAAAACACCCCCCTGTTGTTTTGTGTTTACTAGCCACTCAACCTTAGCTTAATTTACTACCGTTTACCAACTATTGGAAATATGCGAAAGCAAATTTCCACTCAGCTCGTTATCCGTCAGAAGTAAAGTATTATAGTGCTGAATTAAAGCGCGTTCTTTGCTAATGTTAGCTTTACGCCTCTAATAGCATATTGTTATCCTGTGGCAAAATGTTAGCTTCTTAGCTAGCTTACCTGGTAACCGGTCGGTCCCTCTAACGTCTTTGGCTTAAGTCCAGATGGAGTTATTTAGACAGCTGCGGTCATATTTGGCTGTGTGTAAATATAGAACAAGAAAATACTACTTTTAATCGCTGATAGAAGCCAGGGTGCAAGCGGGGCCCTGCGGAGCCCTGAAGTGACTTTAGTGTCCAGGGGGGGCGCTGTCTTCTCACGTCCATTCGGATGACGTAGCAGGGCAGAAACTGCGCATGCGCACTTCAATCAAGCGCTTGTTTTCATACTGTGGTTCTTATTCTGGTGCTTTTGTTTGGTATTTTCCTTTTATCATTTAACCTAATTGTCTAAACTATTTTTTCTTATTATTTAAACTAATTGTATAAGACCAACATTATCTTGTTTTAGTCTGAATAATATATTTTTTTAAATTAAGCTTTATTTAACCTTTTGTTATAGGATACCTGGAGTATTCTAGTATTATCTAGTATCTATTTTCTATTTGTACAATGTACAGTACAGTATTTTATTTGTTTATTTTTTATATACATTTTTTTTTACTTATTCTGTTATTTTTATACACTTTTAAGGTCCAAATTTGTGTGCTGTAATATTTTACTGCTGTAACACCACATTTTCCCCACTGTGGGACAATAAAGGGATTTTTTTATTCCACCGTAATACCTTATGTATTGCAAGAAAACAAACAAAAAAACTGATACACGTGAATGTTCATGTATTTAACTTCCTTGGGAGAAATGGTAAGTAAGTGCTAATCTCCATTGCTATATGTTTGAACAGATATCTAAGGGGAAAAATGTTTTGTGGTCATATATTTTCCATTTTTAATAGCATCTCAAATTACAAAATAGCACTGATGGGTTTATGATTTGTGAAATAGCAGGACCTACCCACTTAAGGTTAGACAACACCATGTGGAAAACAATGTACACAAAAAAAAGAGTGTCACTTTTCCAACAGACAAAAAATATATATATAAAAATCTGTATACAGGACAACATTTTACATTATTTAAAAAAAAGAAATGGTTATGCTCAAACAGCTAATTGAGCAACATCCACATGCAAAGATCGGATTTATTCTTCACACACTTTTTTCATTTCATTTACATTATTTGTCCATATTGTAGAACTGTATAAAAGCTGTAGTTAAAACTGTTAAAATTAAAAAAAATTAAAAAAGGAACAAAAAAGAAGTACTTTGGATGACAGCATGATAAATATGAGATTTCATCAAATCTCTACCAGGAACTTCTTTTTTTAAATTATTTGTTCTTTTTTGTTTTTGTTTTTTTTAAAAAAAGCTAAATGGACCAACAATTAATGAGCTTTTTAATGGAACACTTAAGAAAAGCAATTCAATTGTAGAGATCTTACAAAGTCCTTAACATGGAGGTAAGTGGCATACGATTGAATGTTTCTAATAATTTACATCAGTTTGCAACAGTTCATTCCAATCTGCTTTTCTGCTTCTTTTTTGCTGCACATTTCCTGATCTCTGCAAGGTGAGGGCAGGGGTCCCCGGAAGTGCTTGGGGGATGCAGGATTTGTCGTGTGCGTGTTTCCTCTCCCCTCCTGTGGACCGTTGTGTTCTGTTTCCGAACACACTGTCCCCAACTCGTCCATTCTCCAACTTCACAATGAACTTCAACAGACAGATGACAATCAAAAACCATGAAACACTCATTGGAGAGAGGGATACAAGAGAAGGAGAGCATCTCTCACTTGGGGGGATGCACTGCATGAGCTGGACGTCAGGCTCAAAACCTCTGGGACAGGTTTGGTTGCACTGGCCATGGATCTGGTACATGTCTGCTCTGCACCTTGTACAATTGTTCCTCTCAACACACAGCTCACATTCTGCGGGGCACTCTGAGCAAGAAAGACGGATTATCATTCTATAGAGGTCCCAGTTCTAACCACATTCCTGTGAGCATTGTACCTGTGCATTCCCGCAGCATTGTGCTGGCTGTCAGTCCGTCTGGACAGCTGCTTTCACATTTGCCACGAAAAAGAAAGCGACCAGGGTGGCAGCGTGTGCAGAAATTTTCACTGAAGCAGGAAGCGCAGTCTGCCTTGCACTCTGAAAGCCAATGGGAAAGGATGTTGTTCAGTGCAAAATGGGCACACCCCAAATCTATCTAAACCTCCTCCAACAAAATAACATTGATTAGGTTTTCAGAAAGTAATGCAAGTAGATTATTCTATTACTACTTAATTAATTCAGCTTAGTTATCCTTAATCTCACATAGAAGCTTGATGTGGAACCAATATAACAATCTGTGCCAAGAGACCAATAAAATGTGCAGGTTTTTTGTATGAGGATTGCCATAAATTAGCACCAAACATATTGGATCAATTCAGGATTAATTAAGTAAAGTTAAACCCTAACAAATGGATTCTTTATAACCAAAAAATAAAAAATAAAGTACAGTAAAATATGGTTTCTACATCAGATTTTTGTTTTTTTTACAGATTGTGGAAAGGAGGTACCAAATGCAGGGCAATCCTAGACTTAAAACTGATAGAGGCAGGAAATAAATGAGGTGAAGGTTTAAAGTTCAGAAGGAAAACTAGTTCAAACAACCAACATACAATTGAATGGTTAAGATTATTGAAAAAAATAATGTGCAAGACTGGCCTAGTTAAAGTCCAGACCTAAATCCAATTGTAAATCTTTGGCCAAAGTTGAATATTAATGTAATAATGCTACTATCAAAGAATATACAAAGGTTGCAGTCTCTAAGATGAAAGAGACATACCCAAAACTATTTTCTGCTGGAAAGGCATGCCACACTTTTCAGATTTTTTTTTTTTTTATAATTGTTGGAGGATATATAAGTTTCCTTTCACTTCACAATTATGCATTAGATTCTTTTGTTTTATTCCATAAAATGCAAATAAAATACTTTGAAGCATGCAGCTGTAACATCTTGAACTCAGGATAAAATATCAAAAACAGCAGCAGGGTGGGAATACTTGCAAAACACTGTATCTGCATCATTATTAAACCTTTGGGTTAAATATATTTTTTCAAATATATTTTGATATTTTGATTTTTCAAATATATTAGATTTTTTCAGATATATTTTGGATAAATAAGCATCCCATCACTCCTTTCATGTTTATTGGTACCTACTGATGCAAGTGCTGATTTGGGGAGAGCGCATGCCGTAGTGACCTCGGGGACAGGAGGACAGACACGTCCCCCTCTGCTGGATCCCGTCCAGTTCCAGGTGGAAGAAGAAGCGGGGTTTACAGGACAGACAGCCGTTCAGAGGCGAGCATGTTGCACATCCTGCCTGACAGCTGTTGCCCACTGGATCGCTACCTGTCACAGGTTTAAAGATAAACAAGGATTAGGTGAGACCTATTAGAGAAATCCGGGCTGAACAAAATCTCTGTTTAGGTGTTGTTAGGGAATATAATAGTCTGTTAAAAAAAATCCTGATTTGCAGCAAACAAAATTTCCAGACAACTTGGTTTTATGAGTTGTGATCTCAGCTATAAATTCTCTGTGTGCATGCAAGTAAATCAACTGGAAATCTATGACCACATTGTTCCCTGAATGCTGAACAGTCCATACTTATCGTCTCCATATGGACTCCTCATCTGCTCTGAGAGTTCACAACAACTCCTATTTGGTTTGCAAAAGGAATATGAATAAGGCACTTACGTTTAAATCTCAGCACACTTGTGCTGTTTTGGCCTTTTGAAACGTTCATGAGCTGCAGCATCCAGATTAATGATGGTATCTGCATTTTCCTTCACCTCTCAGTTCATCCAGTCCACAGAGACGCGTCACATCACACCCAAAATCTAAAAAGGACCTGTTTTGAATGAGTCAGTGAAGGACTCCATAATATTCCTTCAGTTGGGTCCGTGCAAAGGCAGCACCAGTGAGGTGTAGAAATGTTTTCGTCAAGAAAAAAATCCAGCGTGTGTTCCATGTGTTCACTGAAGTTGGCAGGACGGTGTGGAGAAAGCAAACAAGAGAGAAGCCATCTTAAGATAGTTGAGTCTCCAACAAATGCAAGGTTTGGGTAAGCTCTTTTTCTTCCAGCACATGTTCACACTCCCACCCTCCTTTCCCTTTCCCCCCTCATCCCTCCTTCTGACCCATTATCACATCCACAAAGTCTGCTGCTTTGGATTGGTACACAAGCAGGGACTTCTCCCTGCTCGTATGAAGGTAGATTCTGTTTCAGTGCACTTTAATTTGTTTTCTTACCTTTACATGCCTCTACACCCACCACTTGTGTTGTTAATCAACTTTGTAGTTTTTCCCTCCCCATCAAACCAAAAGATATATATATATATATATATATATATTCAGATGAAGGAATCTGTGGCAAAAAAATATAAAACATAGATCAAAAGAGGGTGCTCATTAAACTCCACCCAAAAGGTGCAAAGTTTAAATTTTCTCTGCATATGCTACAGAAGATCTCTAGGGATGTATCCTTGTTGCTGCACACATGGCTGCATAAACTCCTTCTTTTTGCATGCTCAGCCTAACACTTATTTTGCTAAACTATTAAGAAACCTGGAGAAATTCCCTTCTTTAAATTTAGAATTCTCTAAAAAAAAAAAAAAAAAGGTTTACTTTGTCAGGATCAATGCACAATAAGAAATGATCTCAATATTGATTTATGTTGAAATATAGTCCAAAGTCCCTTTGCAAGATAAATAGTTCTAACTTAAGCTCACAGCCTAAAATTAAACCCATTCATGCTCATATTTCACACGCTTTTACTTGTACATATTTTCAATTAAATGCTTCTTTAAGAGTATCTAGATTTTAATGTTGCACATCTATTACTGTGTCACGCAGCATCTACAACCTCTGCTTTGCTAGTGTAGTTACATGTTTATGCATGAGACTGCATGGCAGCTTTGTTAAAGTGAAAATCTTCAATAAAGAAGCAAATCTTTAAAAGAAGGTATCTAAATTTAAACAGCAGATTACACATCTAATGCAAAAAAACAAGACAAAAAAACAGATATGGATGCAACAGATGCATTTTTCATACTTTTCTAGATTTCCTTTGCAGATAGTTTCATACAATTATGGATGTTTGAGTGCAAAAAAATCTCTTTTGAAAATAAATGTAAGTAAATCAACACTGAAAATAGGCACAAACAGCCTTAGCAGAAGTGAAAGGAGTTAGTCTGTATGTAAAATTGGCGGATGCACATGTTTTTTGTGAAAACCACCTCATGTTTCCTTCTGATTTAACTTCAGGTGGTACACCACCCTTTTACGCCGCCTCTCAAAAATCACAAATGGACTTATAGTAGAAACTATGTGTCTGCACCTTTTCTGTTCAAGGTTACCCGAAACCATGAGCTGGGTGTTTTCCATTAAAAAGCTGGCTCAGGAAATGAAAACCAAAACTACACTGGATGATTTGACTACCTCCTGATGAGAAAGCAAAATTACAGAAGCAGTAAGTCTAAAAAAAATCCTGGAGGACAAAGTATTTGTTTGCCTTCCTGGTGTGTATTATCAATTGTTTTGGGAACTGTAGGGCTTCTTTGCATTCCCAGAACAGTTACTCACGTCATTAAGAGGTCTAGGAATGCCTTTCCCTATTCATTTCAAATTTCTTCTGCTTTACTCCCAAATCTTTTCTGATCTTGTCATTTTACGTCCCATCATCTTCTGGCTATGTGGCCAAATGTGGCGATAAAAGCATGCGTTTCTCTCTCCGTTTGCTTTTAAATCAATTTCATGCAAAACACTTTAAGCAAAGCGAACAAAAGCATGTGTTCCTTGTTAAGAAATGTGAAGTTTTTACTTATGAGTCTGTCTGGAAAAAAAAGGCACAGGAGGAAACAGCCAGAGATTTGCAGTGGGACTTCATTCCGGAGAGGATTCATGTTGGAAAAAATGATTTAAGAGAAGGAATCTAAAGAGAGAAGCTGGACGAGGCGTTTTATTTTGGCTTCAGCTTTACTATACAAGGACAAATGCATAATAGGAAAGCCCCATTTTTTTTCAGGAGCAAAAGCAAAGCACAAAGAGGACAATAAAATGACTTGTGAGAGCAGCCCTGTATGTCCAGCCAGCTGCTGCAGAGAAACATCATCCATCAACCAGCAGGAAGCTAAATTGCATGGATATATAGACCATCTCTGTGAAGCACATATGTGGAGCTGGAGAGTGTAAAAAAAAATCTCATAAAACCCGTTGTTTATTTAATAAATTACCTTGAGGCCGACAGGAGTTCCAAAAGAAGTTATATTTGGGTTTTTAAAAATATGAGCAGATGTGTTATCAGAGGCTGTGTTGTAAAAATATATGAATCAAAGAGTGGGCAGAAAGTCAGCTCTGCTCCTTAGAGACATAATGGCTGAAACCAAGAAACATCTCCCCAAATCTGACCAGGGTGATAATAAACATGAAAGGACAATGGTCCCAGGGGTGCCAGATCAGATTGTGGAGGGAAAATCAACCACATGACGGCAAAGGATTTCTTCACTAAGACTTAGAAAATATACATGAAGAGGATAATGGAGAGCACAGTAAGTTAGTGTGTGTTCAGACAGTCAGATCCTTGCAGAAGTATTCATACCCTCACAGAGCTGGATGGAGTCCAAAAAATGTTCCAAGCATTTTTGGTTGTTGCAGCCCACCATGAAAATATTCTATGCAGGGAGCTATTTGATAAAGAAAAAAGGCAACTTAGATATTAAATACATGATTATGTCATCTGATTTTTATTTTTACTTTAAAACCACATTGAAAAAAAATCTTAATATATTAGATAATTAATTATAAATGCAATTTTGATTACATTATAACAGCTTTGGGGTAGCTCACAAATGGATTTTGGCCCATTGGGCATAGGTATGCCCAGAATGCTCCAGGCCTGCAACAACATGATTTAACCGCAACTTTCAGATGATGCGCTAACAAGTAATGCATGGTTTGCAAACTTTGACCATATCATAATCTAAAGGGCTTACCACTTTGATGCCTAAAGTTTGGGTTGTGACCTCACTTTATACTAAAGTCCTTAAAGATATAAGAGCATCATTTAAAAATATACTAAATACTTTGTCGACGATTTTTATGGATTTTGTAGAAATGTTTTTTTACTCAACTGATAGTTTGGGCCATGAATCATTTTTGGTACCACTTTGTGAGTCAGAAGCTGAAAAGTTTGGGAAGCTCCTGTTTACCATACATTTTTATTCAGCTCTGTTTGCGATCCAGTGCAGCTGACTGTACAGGATGACAACAAAGAGCAGCCCATCGAAACAAACAGGTATTGCATGGAAAATGATAATAGGAGAATCAGCAAAGAACAAAAGTTGACCTTAAAGCAAAAAAACAAACAAACCAACACCTAATATCAGGCTTAGAGCACAGTCCCTTCAGTGGGACAGTGATACCAGCATCAGCTGTGTGATGACAATTCTCTACAGGAGCAGGGAAGCTAGTCAGAGTGGATAGAGATCCAGAATATAAGACTGGGAAACAAGTCCACCTTTCAGTTAAGAATTTGGGTTATGGCTTGTCCTCCATTCACTTTGTCTGTGCTGGAAATATACACTGCCTGGCCAAAAAGAAAGCCAACACCTGGATTTAATAAAGCAAATAAGTAAAAGTCTTCAATTAGATAATTACTGCAGTGTGTCAGTTAGTAAAAAGCTATTTATCCCCCACTGGTGCAATGAGTGGCTTCTCATTTATTAAACAACCATATCCAACAACACATCCAAGGATCATGGAAAATATGCGAGTGTTTAGGAAGGGTCAAATCACTGGCATGTATTAAGCAGGGAAAACAGTTAAAGAGCTAGGAAAGAATCCCAAAATTCCAAGACATTATTAAAAACTGGAAGGATGGTGGGGATCCATCGTCTTTGAGGAGAAATGAGGGCACAAAAAAAAAAATCCTGAATGATTGTGATCAGAAATCACTTTAAAGGGTAATATCTGTAAAAATGACAGTAGAACTCTATTCACTAGCAAAACACGGAGCATTTCCACATACACAATGCAAAGGGAACTTCAAGTTGTTGGGACTGAACAGGTGGGCAGCCTTTAGAAAACCAATCAGTAAGACTAACTGAAATAAAAAAAAGTCAAGTTTTAAACAGATCCAGGGTGATAGGCACATCAGGGTAAGGAGAAAGGCAGCTGATTAGACATACCCATCATGCCTAGCGACTACCATATGTACCGGTGCTATTCCATCAATCGATTTCTTTTGTTTCCAACTAGCATGGGCATATTCCAAGATGACAATAGCAGGATTGACTAGGCCTGAGTAATTGTCAGAGTGTTTGATCTTAAAAAAAGAATTAATGCAACACTACATGGAAATAGATTATGTAACATTGCAGCTTTTTCAAACACAGCGAATGCAGCCTGCATCTAAAGCTGAAGGCGGTCCAAATAAGAGCATGTGACCTTTTTTGGCGTAAATGTTTAAAAACAATAAAAATCGTCTCTAGATGTGCAAAACTGCTGAGACAAATAAAACTGATTCTACAAAGCTTGACACAAAGAAAGACTACAGCTTCAAGATTGTTATTTATTATAAAAAAAGAAAAAACATTTTCCTACCACTTTACAATTATGCATCAGTCTTTGTTGCTCCATCATAAAAATCACATTATGTTGTTACAACATGACATTTGAGGGATAGGGTTGTTTCCAAAGGTGCTATAAGCATATGAATCTAGATATTATCACTTTAACAGAGATTGAATTATCGGGCTACATATGCAGATTATCCACAAGTAACAAAAAAAAAACACTTTCTCTCATACAAGTGTGAATAGTCTGTCTTAGTTTTGCCCTTTGAGCAAAGCTTCTCGCCAAGAACTTGTGGTGATAAGGAATTAGCAGGATACTATCAGCGGGTGCAGATATTCTGGGTGCCTTGATGAAGCGAGGAATTCGAAGGTGGCCGTGAAGCGTGCAGCTGAAGACATAAACCATGACGGATGAGCGGAGCGAGACCACAGCCAAGCGGATGTCTGAGCACTAATGCACTGTGAAGAAGCCCTGAAATACAAGCCAGTTTCATGTCACAGATAAGCGCCGCTTTCTGGGATTAGTTTGGAATCATCTGTAGTAAAGCTCTAATGATATAAGGACTTTAAAACAAATCCCATTTGTCATTGTATTGTTGAGAGCTGTAAGACTGAAGATAAGAAACAGAATAAAAGTTAAATGGGTTTGTTTAAAAAAAAAAAAGAAAAAAGAAAAATGAAAGAATGAACACAGAGTGTTGACTTAGAAGAAGGGGTAAAATAAATACATTAGGAAAAAGTAGATTTTATAATCAGATACATGAAGAGGTTGTTTATGGAGTTCTTTACAATAATCCTCTTCATCCTCTTGCCTTTTTCAACATTTTCTGTAAAAAGAAATAACATCTGTCAGAACATGGCACAGAAACAAAGCAGAAAGAAAGCATTTTCCTCATCCTGTTAAAGTTGCATTTGAAATATAAGTATTCATGTTAAAAATAAATCGATAAATAAATACTTTCCAAACTTGGGAGTTTTGGTTTGATAAAATAAACCCTGAAAAAATTACCTCTACAGCATCATTTTCTCTTATCGTTTCATTTTAAAGCCTTTATTAGTAGCCATTTTACTGACCTATTCTCAGACATTTCTCACTTTTCCAATATAGATATAAATAGGTGGACATTTACAACCATGTTTTTTTCTGAAGGTTTTATTCTGATTTTCTGTTCAAGGAAAATAATGAAGCTTTCCAATGTTTTTATTTGGCCACTTAATCTTACCAATATTGACTTTATTGACTGACTTGCCTTCCTTTACATGAGGGTAGAGCCGAAACAATCAGATTAATCGTGATTAATCGATTATTGAAATATTAAATTAATGGTTAACTGGAGTGTATAGTATAAAATGTTCCTTTAGCCGATAGAGCAACCCACTTAGAGCAGTAATAATACCAAAAAAAACAAAAACAAAAAAAAAAAATTAAACATTTTGGATTTAAATCCAGAACTCTTCAAGTAGAAAAGTTTTAGTTTCACCTTATTAAATTCAGCAAAAAGTCTTCCTTAAGGATCCTCTTGCCGACCTATTATTAATTATATTACAACTCAATTTGCAAAATAATCATTAGTTGCAGCCCTATACGAGAGACTTTCCACTTTGTTTACTTCTTCACCTCTTTTAAAATTAGGCACCATCACATATGAAGCATAAAATATTTTTTTCATGGTCTCTTACATTAATGAAAATTTTTAATTTTTCCATATCTATAAGTAGGTATGTTATCAATCAAAGCAAAAAAAGATGCTAGAGAGAAGCTATATATTATTGTATAAGTATGTGGTATAGCCGTTCAAAATGCACCAGGGTATATTTTCTGAAGGCGATAATTCTGGACCCTTTTCATTTCAGGATGCAGTTTAAAATTGTGTCAAAATTATCAGAACTTTCAATCTGTGCTAGAGCTCTGAGATCTATTAGTGGATGAAACTGGACGCACTCAGATCCTGATTTAAAGGCAATCTGCAGAACAGACTACAGGGCTTCAATCAGTGTACGCAACAATGATTTACAGTAAAAACAAGAAAAATAAAAGGACTCTTTCAATCATTGCTATCATCATCCTACTAATTACTAGAAAATCATAATACCAGAAAATCTGCAAAAAGTCTCAAAGAACTAATAAGTTCTATTTTTAGATGATAACTTTAGCATTTTTGTTTTAGCATAGAATATGAAAATAGAGATGTTCATAAGTCAAATCACAGTTACTGATTAAAATGCATCACCGTATAAGCATTGACTTATAAGATATATTGATAATGAATTACTGTCTATCAAGAATCTGATCTCCATAGAGGTAATAAGCAGCATTGCAGACACAAGAGGTAGTACAAGAAGGCTGTGTTCGAATATATGGGAAGCGTCCTGCGCGGGTCAGATTCGAAGGCAGATTACGTCATAGCGTAGCGCTGAGGTCTGGTCGGATTGCAAGACTTCTCGTTATGTGGCCTACAAATGCGTCCTTCTTTTTGCACTATTTGAAGGACGGATCTGGTGTATCCTATCTATACTTGGGTATCCCAGGATTTATTGCGAGACCAAGCAAGTAGGCTGCTCAGTGATCAGAGGCGCCGAACAGTGGTGAAAATTGAAAGTTTAGTTTAAAATAATACAAGTATGTGAATAGTTCCGTCTGAAATGAATGAAAATAGTTGGTTTAATGGTTATTGAGTCAGATATGCAGTGGTAATGTTTGATTTATTACGGTAAAAGGTTTTTATCTGTTACTGTGTAAATGGGTCTGGCTGTAATTTCAGGACAGATTCTAATATATCTGCAGTGGGAGGACTATAAATCTGATAGGATTTTTATTTTTTAATTGCGATTTTGCGCAATTGGCTTAGCTAAGTATTTTTTGTGGTTGAATATAAGAGATTTTGCAGATTTATTTTTTATACATATATTGTTTAGATTTACCTATATCTTTCTATCCATTTTATAGAATCTAAAATCCCTTTGTTGTCCCACAATGGGGAAATTCTGGTGTTTACAGCAGCATAAGGATTATAGAAAAAAAAAATGGACACACAAATTTGGACCTCAGAAATTTTCAGAGATTTTGGTCGACTACAGTGCAGCATTTAGTCGAAACAGGGATCCAGTGGGGGGGATGGAGCGACCGAACCTGACACAATAAAGGTAGTCTTGACACCTGCGTCCCCATGCTTCCCCCCGCCTGCCTTACAGGTCCCCAGTCCCCCTACTCCGGCTGAGGACGGGCAGCTCATGGTTCTCTGCTGAGGTCCAGTCCAGTCAGCGGCCCAGCAGTCGATACCCCCAGAAAAAAAAGTGTCCTCCTTTTCAGAAACTCAAATCTAGTCAGCCTAACAAAGATGCTTCAGCCGCAGCAAAACTAAACTGGTACAAGCACCAAAAATAAAGCAGCATGCATGTTTTTGCTGCTCTTGCTGCTTTAGGTGTGAACGTAGCATAACAGTGGCTAGCTTCCAGCCATGGCGTCCCGCACGAGCATTGCGGGTTGATTCGTTCATGTGTCAGAGTACGCACACAGGAGGGAGGGACAAGCAGACAACCATGATTGACGTGTCAGGAACCAATCGTGTACAACGGACCATCTTTTGTGATTGGTTGAGGTTATTCATTGATTCCTCACTCTTGCGGGGACCATTTATTTTTGTTTCACTTACAGACCTATTTCCCTGCAGCCAAAGTAGCTGTGGGGAGATCTTTAAAAAATGCATCAGAAAAGATCTACTACTGCTTGATATTTGAAAAATAGCAGCAACATCAGAGATGTGCAAAATGACAGCAGCATGTTATTTAACTGACTAAGGTTTCTATCATTACATTGGCTTTTATTTGTTCATGCTCCAAGTGGCTGGCACCTTTATTCCACTCTGTATTCTCATGAGGGCAGATTTTGTTCACTTTACAATAAAAAAGGGAAGAAAATTAAAAAGAAACAGTTTGGAAACTTCGGTATTCATTCTTTTCAAGCTTTGTGTGTCAACTATCAAGATTGCTATGTGACAGAGCGTACACCACCGAAAGCTGGAGCTGTTTGAATCCACAGCCAAAACTCTTCCGACCTCCTTATTTTCACGTTGAAGGATCCAGTCCAGGTAGACCGCGTCCTTGGAAGAGGCAGGCCATAAATTCGAACACAGCTGAAGACTACCTCCATTTCTTTTTGTTTAACACTTGTATAAACAAAATGACAAATAAAATCTGTCTAAGTCTATTCCAGGCGACAGTAATGCAGTAAAGGAGCCAAGGTATATAGTTTATGTCCTGTAGCAAACAGGTACAGACTTAAGAGAATCTCTGAATTCCTGTTTAAAAATGTTTTTAAAGTTATTTGTTTTATGCTTAAGCTTTATATAAAAATTATTTTGGGAGCTCTTAAGGACAAATTTTAAAACCAATAACAAATAAAATATCATGAAACAAATCACTGTTAAGTAAACCTATGGAATATTCCTTTGTGAACTGTTATTTCTCCCATTCATTAAATGCATTCATAAGATCAGACAACCCTGGCTAAGTAACGGTTTTTAACTCATTTGACTTGACTTGGGCTGGATTATTTGTCTTTTCGTTCTTTACAATGGAAAACGAAACAATAATCCTGAAAAATCTCCCAATACTAAACATTATGATGGCCATAATTATTAATAACTCAGCTAGTCCGTGTCACTGTGGTTTAAATAAGTGAGCTAACCTTGGAAACTGCTCTGACATGATGAGCTCCGATTGTTGCAGATTTCTCCTCAAACGCTTTGGCTTTCGCCTCTTCAGAAAGACCTTTCAGGAACATTACTATCAGCAGTTCAATCTAAGAGGAAACGAGAAACAGATGAACCACTAATTACAGAAAGACTTAGCAGCTAAGTAGCATAAGCCAAGTAACATAATGAGGGATCAAAGTGTGCGCCCCTACCATCGCCTCTGAACCCGTTGCAATGTTTACATTTCCCTTAGCTTTCGCCCTTACGGTCCTCTTCAGCTTCGGCGGCTTTTTCAACATTTTTATAATATTTCTGTATGGAGAAAAAAAAATCACAAGCTCCTTTACTCTGTTATGTTTTTTTTTTTCAATCTCCCGCTTATCTTACTTCCGGTTCTTCTTCTTCGGGCTTTTTACTTGCTTGTGCCTGATCGTCATCGCGCCTCCTACTGTTTTAAAATAGTTAGTTCGACCAAAGCGAAAACAAATGACAGCTTTACATAGTGTTTATTTTATACATTTATATATATTTGTCCTTTATATATATACAAAAAACGGCTTACACTCACATTAAAGTAACATATTTCAAGGCAAAGTGAGAATAAGTAAAGAAAATAGCTCCTCTCTGATTAATTCGGCTATGCTGCCACCTGGCGGCTGTCTTTACATACTTCATCATTCTGTTTTTCAGGGAACGAAGCGAACAAAGATGGCAGCCCCCTGTGAGAAAACACCCGGCGTGAGCAATATGCTGCAGTTTATGAAACTTATTGGACAGCTAAAAGTAAGACTCATTATTACACATGGATTGTGTTTATGGGAATTGCATATTATCTTCTAGATTTATGTAATTATTTACTTCAAATCATTTCACTCCGAAACAATATAAAATGCCTTATTTATATAAAGCATTGGTCAATGCAATGCTTTCTTTTTAAGCGTAAATCAGAAATGAAATGAATAGAAATCAAATTTTATTTAATTTATTCTTTTCTGTTTTAATTGCATTCAATTCCAGGGACATGGTGCAGGATTGTAACCTTAGACTTGCATGCAAAACATCTGTGCTGAAAATCTAACGCCTTTATACACAATTTCCACAGATAAAACCAAATGTTGGCATGCACTCTTTGGTTTCTGCTGATCTATCCCATAACATTTCAAAACTGTACATGAAAGTTTTAGGTTATGATGTGACTGGGTAGCACACCCCATGGTTTTAATGTTATTAAATGTTTTTTTTTTTTATGCCTTTTAATGTGTTGGCATTTTTATTCCAATGGTATCAAAAATGGTATTGATATTTTCCTAAATATCAATATCAAGTTTGAATTTTTTTTGTATCGTGACAAATATAAACAATATATTTCTACAGTTTTTAGCATTTGATGAATGCTGATGTTTTCCAGAGGGTCCCACGGACTGGCTGGGTGTACAGAAATGTAAAGAACCCTGAGAGTGTATCAGACCACATGTATAGGATGGCTTTGATGTCTCTCACCATCACTGACCCTACAGTAGACAGAGACAGGTGAGTTGTCAGTACAAAATGTACTTTAAGTATTTGAAGCCTAAATCGTATTTAAGGAGGACATTATCCCTAAAAGAATAATAATTTCTGCCCTCAGATGCATAAAACTTTCACTTGTCCATGATATGGCAGAGTGCATTGTGGGAGATATTGCTCCTTCAGACAATGTCAGCAAAGCGGAGAAACACAGGAGGGAGGAGGTGAGGGAAATCCATATTTTTATGAGGGTAAAAAGAACAAAATAAATTTATTTTCTCTATCTCAAACCCAGGAAGCAATGAGGCATCTGACAAGTCTGCTACCGGAAGGTCTCAAACAGGAGATCTATGCTCTATGGGAGGTAAGCTGATTTAAATAACACCTGCATTTTTTCTGTTTCCTGATTATTTGCTTTATAACAACATTTTGATCATGTATTGGTTTTTAGTCACCCCAAAATGTTTGACATGATCAAACATATTTTAAAATAAAACCAAACCTAAGGTAATTTTAAAAAAATTATCTCAAATGTTAAGGGAAACAGTAATTGAAACCAAACTGGTCCTCTTTATTCTATGATCATTTAATATAACAGCTGTATAGTTAAGAACTTAGTGAAACAGAAATTGCATGATAAATGCTAACAATATCTTTAAAAGTAAAGCATAATTCCCCAATGTAAATAATAAAGAAAAAACGTTATTGCCATGTATCAGCTTATTAAAAGCCCACTTCCAAGGCATTAGAATGCCAGTGAATTACAGGGTGAACTATAACCCGAAAAGCATGGAACGTTGATCATCAAACGATAAAGACATCAAGCTGTAACGTGTTGGTCTGTCTATAAAGTTGGCACCGGTTCTTCATGTGCTGGTGTAGTTTTCACCTCACCATATCTTTGACCCACTTCATGCACCTTGGAAGTTGATAAAATTTAACCAGCAACTTGATGGTTCTCTGAACTGTAATGATCCTTCCCAGGAAAGTCTGGCCTAACAACTTCCAGGAGGTTACTTAAGAACCAAGGCAATATCTAAAGCAGTTCAGGCCTCACTTATTTCAGTTAATGTTCTTAACTGGATAAAAAACAGCATCCATTGGGGAAAAAATCCTCAGAGACATAAACCAGTGGGGAATAAAAACGAGTTTAAATATGATTTTGAATGTTTACCTATTCAAACTAGGCCACATTGGTTCAGATTAGGGCTGAAACAACTAATCAGATTAATCCATTATTGAAAAAATCGTCAACTAATTTAGTATTGGATTGTTAACTGGTATATAAAGACGGAAAAACATGCCTTTTTCTGACAGAGGAACCCACTAAGAGCAGCAATTATACCAAAATTGTAAAGAAAATATATAAACATTTTACATTTAAGATCAAAAGTCAATATGCTCTATACAGAACTTCACAAGTGGAAAAGTTTTAGTTTCACCTGGTTTAATTTTGTGAAAAGTCTTCTTTAAGGAACCTTTGGCTATCTGATTATTAACAAAAAAAAGATCAACCGATTAATCGATTTGTAAAATTATCTTTAGTTGCAGCCCTAGTTCAGATTTATGTTTTTATCTCCTAAATGTAGTCGTATTATACCTGCTTTTTTGAATCTAAGTTATCTTAAACCCTGTCTGATGAGTGAAACCATTTAAGTGAGACTAAATAGAGAAATCTGTAATGACATACAAATTTTTCCGAGCATCAGAAGTTTAGTGTTTGTCTGAAACCAGGATTTTATGTGTTGGGCAGGAATATGAATCTCAGAGCAGTCCAGAAGCAAGGCTGGTCAAACAGTTTGACCTCCTGGAGATGATCATGCAGGCTCATGAGTATGAAGAGCTGGAAGGAGCGCCAGGAAGGCTGCAGGAGTTCTTTGACTCCACCACAGGTGAGCGTCCAGCCCAGGTTACCTTCTATCTTTCCAGAGTTTTATTTTTATGGAGGAATTTGTGTTAAAAAAAAAGGTTAATTTCAGACTCTGTTTTTACACCCTCGAAGGGCGCTTCCACCACCCAGACGTCCTCCAGGTGGTCAGCTCTCTAAATGAACAAAGAGGAACGAGCAGCAAGGAGCTGAAGAAATCCCAGACTGACGGCTCAGAATCCAAAAACTAACACACAGCGACACGCTTGTCCTGACTGCGAGAAAACATCAGGCAGGAAAATCCTGCTTTTGTCCTCCTCACAGACTGATCAGCTCAGCAGAAGATGAACAGATGCCAGTTTTACAAAAAACTGGATTTATTTATTTTCCAGGTATAATTTTACTACAAATTAAAACTCACCTTCCAACTCAGCTGGTGCTGCCTTAGAGACTGCTGCTGTTATATGATCCAATAGCAGAAATATATTCATTCATCTTATTGTAGCTTAAAAAAAAATGTTTTATAGATATGTATAAACAGTAAATCATTATTTTCCACTCTTATGTTTTTTTTATTGAACAAGAAATTCCTACATTAACCAGATTTATCGGTTAGTTTAAATACTGTCACATTGCACATATAAGGTAAATCCAATATCACAAAAGTTATCCATAAAAAGATAAGTAAAAGTTGCAGCACCACAAGCCTCCTAGTTTCCTCTATAAAAGGAATTTTCAAGGCAGTCTGCAGAAAAACATCGGGAATAAAAACCAAAATAAGGTTTTGTTACAGAATTCAAGAAGGTTCATTACTTTTTACATTGCATCTTGTTTACAGAATAAAATCTGGCGAACATGCAGCCATATTTGCTTTGGGTTATTTAAACAACGGAATTTATTATATAAATTCACATGATATTCTGTGTATTTTTCATAAAACATCTTTAACCTCACAGACTATTGGTTCTTTCACTGACTGAATGCTCTAAATACATGGGAAAGAAATCCATCATTTGAAAACATTTAAACAGTTAAAAAATAAATGAATTTACTGATGCAAAGCTACTTTCATGGCAAAGCTATAAGGAGCCCACACAGATTGACAGAAAAAAAGCAGTGAATCTTCCCTACATTTACTAAATCCTCATTTTTTTTTCTTAGAAACTGTTGCAATAAATTGTTTTGTACACATATTGGCTAACTTGTAAATGAATACAATGAAAGGGAGCAACGTTGTGTGAAGTATTTTAGTTAGTTAAAAAAATTGCGTAGGTTTGGTAGTGTCACATCATCTCTGACTGGAAGTTTCATCCACTTTTTAAAGAAATCTGCTCTCAACTAAAACATGAACTATTTATAGTGTAACAGACTGAACCTGGAGCAACGTGTCAGATTTACCTGATCAATAACATGAATTTAATGGTATGATTTTCTTTAAGGTTAGATATGAGCTCCTTGTTTCATAGAACCTCAGCTGTAACCGAGAGGCTTAAATCTATAAAACAATGACTTTTTTTTCTCAAATTCATTGTTTTATGAGATCCCACTTTCTTTTTTTTTATCAGATTCCAAAAATTAAAGCAAAAGCAAATAGATTTATATTGCCAGCAATTTCATCGCACTTGCAGGATTTAGTAAGGACTTGTCTGCAAAATCAGAACACTGCTTTCCACTTTGGTCTTAAATTCTATAGATCCACAACAATGTGCTGTGAGTGGAGCGAGACGGAGTCCTAGCATGGTCTCTCCGAGGTGTCAGTCAGGTTGTTGGTGGGCGTGTCCTGAGAGCTGGCGTTGGCTGCAGATGAGAGGACCTCCTCGAAACTGCCGCCGGTCCCAGTGCCTCCAACTTTGGTCTGGTATCGGAGGGAGATGCAGAAAAGGAGAAAAGAAACGCATCAAGTTTTTACACCGTGGATTGGAGCAGACTAAACCTTTTTTATTGCCACAATTACTGCATGAACAGCATACTACTGTAGGCAGATGGTTGTTTTAACCCAAAGGATAGCAGTTAGCAGGAACAAGCTGTTCCAAAACCAAAACAGACGCAGAAGATCAAGAAGAGGAAGACAGTTTGTTGGTGAGGATATAAATAATGTGTTCTCAGTGTCACACCGTATGATAGTAATTACACAGCGATTATAGAGTTTAGCTCTCTGTTTCACGCTTCCTCTGGAACGTGGGAGAAGAAACTTCTTAGCCAGAGAGACTTGCTGTTGAATCAGACTGATCACTTGTGTGTTAGGGTGGTGTGGAGCCTAAAAGCCTTTTAATGACCAAAGCTGTGGAAACGGGAAAACAGGCCTAAGACCAAAGAAGGCCAAATAAGTTATCTGTTTAATGAGGCAAAAGAGGAACACAACAGGTGGAAGTTCTTGTCTTACGTCACAAACATGCATGTCTTTCATTAAAATAGACTGACTCTGGTTGGCCAGGATAGGTTTTATTTGCTACCTGTCTAGTGTTTGTCCAAACTCAAACCCAGTGACTGCTTTAGAGGGCTGCTGTCCCCCCCCCCCCCATGAGGTTAACCTGACAGACAACGGATGGGTCACTCAGTGAAATGAAAGTTAAATGTAGTCATGAAGAAATATATATGCAGTATATGTATATGTACAATATATATACAGAGAGAACTTAACATCATACAAAGTCAGAAATGTTACAATAATCTAGAATCTGAGCTATGGGGATAATCTAGACGTTGAATAGAAGCGATATAAACATAGACCCTTTAGAACCTCACAAAGAAATTTTTGTCTTGATTTACTAATACTCAATGATAAAAAGTCTAAAATAGTACCAGATAACCCCACTTTAAATGAACTGAAAGCTTTTGACACCTAGAATACAGATTACAAAAAAGTCAAATTGGTTTACCTTGATGGTGGTAACAGTGTTTTCAACTTTCTCTTCAAAGGATTTGAAACTGGGTGAGTTTCTGTGGATAAAACACAGAAGATCTTGATCATGGTTGAAGAATTTTTTTATTTATTTTTTTCCACATATTCTGAAAATATAACTGTATAAATTCAGTAATACAATTGTGAGGTTCAAATTTAGTGGAGTGGCAGCCTAGTGGTTAGGGCATAGAGTTTGGACTCCTGAGGTTGTGAGTTCAAAACCCACTCCCACAGTATGTCACTCTGGCTCTCTGAGCAAGACCATTAACACCACACTGCTCCCCGTGATGGCAGCCCACTGCTCCCAAAGGGGATGGGTTAAATGCAGAGGTAAATTTCTCAATAAAATTCAATTACTTAATAGTAGTAAAGGTAACTGATAAGAGAGGATGGGAACGTGTGAAAACATTTCAGGTATTAAAATAAAGCATCTGAAACACAAAACAACAAGCAAACAGAAAAGCATGGAGTTTTTACCTCATGGCAGGCATGCTCATAGAGTGCCTGACAGAGTATCTGTCCCCAGGCAGCGTGGCAAGAGAGGAGTCAATGATTAGCCAAGGTTACACACAGAAGCAACCTCAACAGTTTGCATGTGCAGCTTTAGTCCCTCAGCCTCACTTTAGATATCACACATCTTTGCCAACAGGGTTGTGTTTTATGTTGCAGAGAAGTTGTTTAAGAGATAAAGTAGGATTCTATTTTGGCTTTAAAAGAAGTCTAATTTCCAGTTAAATATAAAAGTTTTCAAACCAGGCAGATATTTAGACCCACAAACAATCCCCAAAAACTACATCTTTGCTGAGATCAAGAGCTGATCGAGTTCTTCCTCCAGGAGTAAACTGGTGCCTTCTAAACTGGTGCCGTCCAGATACTGAGTTAAGAAGGCTTAGCGAGAAGCAACTAATGTGACATAACCGTCTGGGTGATTCTTACCCTATTGAGTTGGACCTTGGAAAGCATGGAGGGAAATAAAGAACAGCTTAGATGCTTTTAAAAGACTAAACACAGCCTCTATCACAATCATGCTCTGTGAAATTCTGAAATCCAAAACAAGAGAAAAAGGACATAGATAAAACAATATGATTAATATGTAGGGAACCAAGGGAAAGAAAGATTTTAGTCACTTGTAAAACATATTAAAATTACAAGAACAGTTTTAAAGACACAACACACACTGCACAGCAAGCTCGAAAAAAATCCTTCAAAAAAGTGAAACAAACAGAAACAGAACATTTAAAGTGAGATTATTTATGCCTCCTATTCTCTCTTGGTTTAATCACTTAGCAGAAAGTGGCACCTCAACACTGAATTCTTTACATTTTAGGGCTTTTTTACGTGTCTTTAATGCTCACTAGCTTTTCTTCCGGACAAACAGGTCTGCACCTGGAACGGCGGTCGTCTGAACAATTCAGCCTGTTCAACAATTCCCTCTAACAAACCCCCCCTAGAGAGATATCGGGTATTACAGGCTAACAAAGAACCCAAACGACCCCCATTCCTAAGGAGCGGACCATTTGTCGGTTCAATATGGATGTTTCCTAAGCCAAAACAAAAGCTTTGTTTTTGGTCCACTCCATAAAGCCTTGAACTGAACGCTATTTCTGACATTTTGAATTGAAAAATCTTCCTGGATCAAACTTGGAAACAAAGTCCAGTGGATTGTTTTTTTTTTTTATGTCATTTTGAATGATTATGACCTGGATGACTGAGAATCTTCACCAGCCTACTACATTATAAAACATGAATTTATTTTTGATGGTTCTATTATCTATTATAATCTATTCTGTTTCTATTTGATTCAATAATATGGGATAACTTTGTCAAAAATGGAAATAATGGGCAGCAATCTAAAGTCAGATTCTTACGCTTGCGGAGATAAAAAGTGTAATGTCAGAGGTTGTTAAATGTGAAAAAATAACACTCATATATACTACAAAACAAGATAGGATAAGCAATGAAAAAGCTTGATACACTGCATACATGTTAAACACCCACAGCAAAAAAAGAAAAAGTTAAAAGTAAACTAAAAATATACCTGCGTGGAAACAGTAACTCTAAACCGGCCATGCTAAAATACAGAAACAACTGAGATAAGTTGTTGTACATCACTTCCCGCTAATGTAGCCAGACATTGACCTTCCTTTAACCAAAAAGAAGAAAGCCTTAAGTAGACAAGCAATTTCTTCTTTTTTTTTTTATTCCTACTATTGGGGAAATAAACTACCAGTCTGTTGAAATCAAGAGATAAGAGAGTGACTGAAGGAGACAGGCTTTACCATGAGCCTTTCAGCCCCCTTAGAAAGCAGCTTAATGCTGGCTTACATAATAATGTGCTTTCCTGAACTGTTCCACTCTGGTCTCTGTCATGCAGAGATGGTAAGGACAGATCAAAAACAAGACAAGATGTAAATGTACTAGGAAGTAAAGTGAATCAGGTGGTGTATGGGTAAAACAGGTCCAACTAGGTCTGCGTTGTAGATCAGTGATATACTTTGAGCAAATAGAGGCGTCTGTACTTCTGTTTCCTCTTAGAAGTTCCTAAATACTGAGAATTATTTTGAGTGAAAGAAGACAACATTTTGAAGGACACTGGGACAGTAAAACTAGGTTTGGACACCTTGACGCCAGATTTGGGTCAATAAATTCATCATTTAGTATAGATGAGCCTGTAGAAGTTTTGCCTCTCTAAAGATTACAGACCACATTTTTTTCTTTGTTTTTTTGCAGTTATGAAGCAAAAGGGCTCATCTGCTCTCTTTTTACATGCTGACAGCTTTTATCTAAAAAAAAAGTTTAGCAAGTACAAATTTAGCAACCAAATTCTGTGGTTGACTTTATGACCACGGTTTGCATCTTTTATTATTAATAACAAAAATAGGACAGTTTTCCTCCACAGATTATGAGAAAAGGACAGGACACTAAAAAATAAACAAACTCCAAACTCAACTTAGTGTAACATAAACTAAAAAAGTCTGAGCTAAACAAAATTTACTGAATCAAACAGTGATCTGAGCTAAGGATAAACAACACTGAGGTCATCCTAACATAATCCTAAACAAACAAAAATAAAATAACATACCAAACAAAACCTAACTATGACAAACTAACCTAACCAACGCTGAACAATGTTAATAACTGCTCTAACACTAACTAAGCTAAGCTAACATATGCTAATCTCAAGGGGATCTTACATTTTCTTAGTTTAGTTTAGCAATTTTGTCAAGAAAATTAAGACATATCGGTACTTTCTTTAGGTGCTTGCAATTTCGATTTTTTTATTTTTTTATTTCAAGGTTTTAAAATCTTTAACCCGTTATGATAAATATTACTCCAGGCTCTTTAAAGTTCTCCTTGCAGTTTTCTTTTCTCTTGAATTTGGTTGTTTTTTAAAGTAATTCTTATGTTTAGCCCATCCAGAACGATGGCATATTGTGAAGCATCATTCAAATGTGAGAACTAGAAAAGTGGAGACAAAAGAAAAACCCTGAAAACAAAAATACTACAGAATATGAAGCAGGAAATAGTCTAAAGACACTAGTTGAACCAAAAGGTTTAAAAACCAGAGTAAACAAACCCAACAGACCTTCAGACGGCCCAATAATTAAACATTTTAAGGTTTTTGTAAAGGTTACAGTTAAACCAGCCATAGTAAAGATGAGATATATGCAGTTATTTTAGCTGTAGAACCCAAGAGGGGGGGACATTTCCTCTTTTCCAAAAAAAATTGTTTTAAACTAAAGACTTCTAATTTATCTAGTTAGCCTCTACTGGACAATAAGTTCTGAAATGTAAACTTTAAAATTATCAATACAACTTAAACCTTACTGGATAATCTTAATAGAACTTCTATTTATCCATCTATAAATGTCTTATCAGGTCATCCACTGTAGACATTGTATATTTAGAACTGTAGAGTTGCTGATGAGAAGAAAAAAATGATTCTAAATAACTCCTTCCCTTTATTTACCACATTCTGCTTTAAAAAGTAAAAATGAAAACAAAGGCTTTTTCATTTTTTTTAAGCTGTGATGTAATTCTTTACCTCATGTCTCCAAACTTTCTGGTAATGGCGCTCCCAAAGGTGCTGAAAGCAGCTGAGGTTTTCTGTCCTGCGGTGGACAGCGTCTCTGATGTCTTCTTGTATCTGAAAAAGACACAAGGACATACACTGCATTTGACAATGGGGTCATTTTAGCGCATGTTCAGTTTCTCCCACCCCCATTTAAATATATCAGTCCTACAAATGCGCAAACAGATCGACTAAATGCCTATGCCATGGGAATTAAAAAAGATATTTTGCCAACTCAGGGGATTTCTGATCATAAGATCTAGATTCTGTTTGATGATTTGCTTAAATAAAATAACGTTGCTTCAATTATAAACCTTGTTATGGTTTTCAAATTCCATTCAATTCAGTTTACTTATATAGCACCAATTCACAACACACATCATATGAAGACAATTTACAGATACAATTTAATCAGATCATGCAGTCAAAACCAGATGATGACATCGAGTCATTACCCTTAGAGAACAGGCCCCTCATTCAACATTTGACGCTTCCTTTCTATGTGGGTTTGCATTACATCTGGATAAAATACAGCATGTTTACGCAGTCTCTGTTACCTAGAGTGAAGACCTCATCCTCCTCTGGTCCCACTGGTGCATTATAGATGAGGCAGAGGCTGTTTGTAAAGTGATCCTCAGAGTAAAGTGTAACTGGATAAGAGAAGCAGCCTTTAGAGGCTATCCTGTTTTATCTCTTGCTGTCTTGAGAAAAGCTCTGCTTTATCACTGATCTGCGACAGTTGACTGTTTATCTGTATACAGAACGATTCAAACACCATAAAGGAATCTGTGGGTTGTTTTTTTTTTTTGGTACAGAGCCCCTTCTTAAAAAGAATGTATTTAACTGAGAATGTATAGTACCTGTGATAGAGCAATATTAAAAGAATGAGTAATACACATTTATGATAAAATGTTTTTGAACTATTGTACAAAAACAAATCTGTAACATGCTTAGCATGTGTCAGTCTGTATCACTTTACTGTTCTTCAATAAACTGCAAAGCAACTTTTTTGTTAAAATAATGGAATTAGTAATATTTGCAATTTTCCTTAATCAAAGGAAACATCATTCAACTTTACTCTGGTCCAATGCCAACAACTGGTTTGTACGGTGGCCGGGAAGTCCAAACCTACGATACAAGATTAACAACAAGCAAAACACTTTCAAAAATCTTGAAACAAATTTAAAAATGACAAAAGCAGCTGAAAGGGGAGCACTGTCTTTGAAGCTTACCTGGAAGTGATAATGGGAGCCTTTATGATGACCCAAGATGGACGCTAATCGAGATGCGTTTTGCCCATTTTGTGGCACACAAAAGATTTTAAATCGCACAAAACACACAGAAGAACCAGATATGCTGCAGCAGTGCATACAATATTTCAATGAGGGTCACTAGTACGCTGTAATCGTAGAAATGATGTCATGTTTACACTGTGTACACATCAGCCTGCAGGAATCTGAAAAGCAAACTGCAAAAAGGATTTCTCTTCAACAAACATAATAATTAGGGCAATAACACTGGAGCTCTGTGGAAACGGACAGCTGTTTGCATACCATACGATGTGCCAGGTACTTAAACAAAAGTCCAGTTGTATTGTTGGTTTGCACTTCCTGGCCACCGTAGATTTGTGCACACCTATATATAACCTGGCAAAAACCACAGTAACTAACTCTTTATGATAAAGGTATCATTGCCATGTGTTCAAAGTGGAAAAAACAAAAATCAGAAAACCATCAAGGGTTTTGTTCTCACTGTAGGAAACCAATACAACACACATTTAATTGATGGAAGTGCCTGCAGAGTGCATTCAGTTAGCCATGTTCTGAGATCAACTATAGCCTTCAGCAGAGTTTTTAAATCAGTTAAACAATTGTCTGTTTCAGAAAGCAGGGTGCAGATAACAAGCCGCAAACATGCCAGACAGTGAATCCTTTTCTTCCTAGACTCCTTTTTTTTTTTTAATGAGTGTTTGGAAACCAGACTGTGTGGACTGGGCGTCTCTTTTGACTGTTGGACAATAGACCACTAATCATCTCAGACTGTTTTAACTTTTTGTGCTATTGAAGCACATTCAAGTCTCCCGTGTTCTGCCTCAGACATTATTGAACTGCAAACAAGCAGAGCATTCAGGTGAACGGAGCTGCAGACTCATTAACTTACGCCGTAGTGCTCTGCATGTCATGCCAGCTTCTGCTGAAGTTGTTCCTGAGCTCACTGAGAGGAGTGATGCCCAGCTTCTGTTTGAGCTCAGAGTGCTGCTTCTCTTTGGACAACAAAACCTGCTTCAGTGTGCTGATTTCCTCTTCCAACTGACCACACACAAAAAAAACATACAGTTAGTTTTATTCAAACTGACAATCCGGCTCATGATTCATTTGTGCGTCTGTATACTTTAGTCAGCTCCTGCAGAATCTCTTCTCTCTCCTCCTCTGTTATGTTGGTGTTGTTGAGGCTGACTTCTGACACCAAATCCTCATCAGCCTCCCTCAGAGGCTGAGAGTCTAGAAAACCTGTTCAAAATGAAAGACATTCATGGAGATCTCTGGTTATATGAAATCTGGAGCCATTAAAGTCGTGTTCAGTTTTCAGTAAATGCATGTTCTTAGAATTCAGGCTACAGGAAATCAAGTCATGAATTTGTTTCTTCTTGCTTTTAGAGGAACACAAGTTACTTCCAGCTTGTATTACTTCTAGTTTTTACATTTTACTGCATTTTAAATCAGATTAAACAATACCAGGGTTGTGTTCAGTTGTTATTCAGCCAAAGAAGACAGGAAAAACCCCTGCTATGTTTTTCTGATTTCAAGTCTTCCCATTCTTTGGCGTGTAAATTGTTCCCTGCCTCACAGTGTCTGGGCGATTGTCCTTTCTCCATGTCTGGCTGCATCTCTGACTGTTATGTAATCTGTGGCTGCAGCCTCCAGGGCTTTAATCTGCCTTGGCTAATGTGGATTATCTTGCTTTAACTCTGCTAGCCAACACTACAGTCTGACATCCACTCAAAAACCTACACTGACCAGATGCTGTCTAATTCCTCAGGGATGGATCGTTCATCGACGGTTATCAAAGAGGTCAGAGGGTATACACAGAAAACAACAAGAAGCACAAAAAATAAGAGGGTAGACATAAAAAAATCCCAATTGATTGTAGAAAAAATAATGATAATAGTAAAATACTTTGTAGCGAATTGGTAAAATAATATTCTGCAAAAGTTTGATTTCTATAAAATGCATACAAAAATGACAATCTGGCTTTTTGGAATAACATGAAGGCCCAAGCTAAAGTTCTCCAGAGAGGAACAGTTCAACAAGACATGCATGTGACATAAACACAGCATACCAGGAAAAGAAACTCATGATAACTGAGAAGCATGGAAGTAAAAGTGTGAAGTTTTGGGGATGTTTGCTGCAGCAGCACCTGGTCAGTTCAGGACCTATAATGTATCCTGGTTTTTATCAGATCGAGAAAATGTAAGGTCATGTTTTAGGAGGAAAAAAGTCGAAACAGAAATGTACTCAGTTACATGACAATGACAAAATACACCCGCCAAGGATGGAAAGTTCAGATCCTGATTCAACACAGACGTCGTGGTAACTTAACATCTTGGTTGATGGCAACAAAAAGGATCACCAAAGTGCTCACTTTTTTCACTCTGCCAGAAAAAGCATTTTTGGCGATCTTGTTGAATGACTAAAACACGGTTATATTGTTTTTTTGTTTTAGCTGCAAATGATCACATTTGTATGCAAGAAAGAAAATTGGAGGTTAGATGTAACATTTTAACAATTTCTTAATGAAAAAAAAATATTAAGGGTGCAATAGCCCATTTGCTTAAAGCAACAACAACACAGTGGGGAATATTGTGAACCTTTAAAACAAACATTGACAGACAAACATTCCTGCCATTAACCATCACATCCAGCTGACTGACAGCTCACAGAAACAGCTTGGGAACGGATGGATGTTCTCTACGTGGAACTGAAAAATGGCCACCACACCAATAGCTTTTAAACCACATAAATAGGACAATTTAAACCTCAAGATAAAATCGACACTTTTTAACTGACCCCCAGAAACCAGACACTTATAATTGAATCAAAAACATATTAAGCATTGAGCAGCATGGCTGTGTGAAAAATACATGTAGCCTCAGGGTGCTTTGGGCATAAAGTGGTTTTGGATCGATTGAACAAGGAAGCGGTTTACTGTACCTGCAGTGAGGCGTCCTCTCTCTTCATCGGAGTGCATTATAAAACACGAGGAGACAGCAGGGTCAGGTAAAGGAGATATGCATTTATATATCCTTTAAAGGGAAACAGTAGCACCACGGGTGGCTAACACACCAACACAGATACGACTCAAACCAGTTAACTCAATCACAGCATGCAGGTTTTCACTTCAACCGGAGAACTTCTATAACATGGAGTTACTTCAGCCGACATTACACAGCAGGGAGGACAGTGAGAATTTTAAAATCCCGCAGCTCTGATGGGGGCTTTTCATGTTCTAGTGCATTTAGTAGTTGCCATAAAAAGAGGTTTTAAAAGGAAACAAATCAGTCGGGAGTCCTAGTGGAACATTTGCTTGTTAGACGTTTTAAAAAACTGCAGATGTATTTACATGACGTTGTAAAAAAAAAAGAAGCTAATAACGCAAACATTAACATCAAATTTTTACAGAAAACATATATTTTTTTTGTATCTTATAACTACTTTCAGATTTTGTTAATAAGTGTTTAGTATGCTGGTCAGTGTGATTCTTAAAGCAACCAACTTAAATGAATAATTCTAACGTGCATTTTGCAACACATACCATTGTTGCATAAGTACTAATGTGTCACATCTTTGGAAACCTGCTGTCTCTAAACTATTTTCCAAGCAAGCTAAGGCTGTGTTACATTTTAACTCCCTCTCTTCTATGCTTATACATGCAATACAAAAAGAGGAACTAAAACAGCAGCATATTATGAATTTCTTTAATAGATATTAAAACTATCTAGAACTTTAGTGACCTGATATTAAAATCTAAACTTCTTTTCCGATGTAATATAAAGTAGTTAACACATCTTGTTAATAATATTCCATCATTTATATTGTGACTAAAAATAACGGCAGTCACTCTCTCCTATATCCCCAAGTAAATAAGCATGTTTTCTAGCAGGCTGTAAATGGGTTTAGCTATGTAATTTAACTCAAAAGGTTATCTACTCTCTAAGCTCTAGTCTAGGTCCCTTTTTACCTGTGCTGTCTAGCTGCATGTCCCAAGTAGTAGACATGGCCCAGCTGTCAGTCTGGCACCCTGATGTATGAGACCACTGCTCCTCCATCTGAGTCGAGGAGTAACCCCAGTCTGTTAGGTTTTCCCCATTTTGGACCAATGGGGCCAAATCCTCCCCATATGAGCTCTTTCGATTGGATTCCTCACCACCGGCACGGTGAAACTTATCCAAACCTGAGCACAGTTACAGGTGAGTACATTTGCAGTCTGATAGAGATTTGTTTTTATCTAACCAACATGACAATCGGTCTAAGATTAAGTTAATATTCATTTAAATACTTTGCCTGCTGCAGTCTGACAGCTGATTGGTCAACCTCATGTGGGGACAGTTTGCTGAGTAAATTATGATTTTCCTATTCCTTAGGACTTTTTAATCTGTTAAACTATTAAAAAATTTAGTGCATTTCTTTGCCTTAGGAACAACGTGGCATTCTGTGCATACTGCAAGTTAGAGACGCATAATATAGCGTACTGTATGGCAGACAGTGAGCTTAATGTTTGTGCACTATGGGAGCCATGGTATTGCACTATTAGTGGTACTTAGACTTCTGTTTTGGAAGAAAAAGAAAAAAACAAGAGCAACCAATTGGTATAATTTTGTTAGATACAAAGTTAAGGGTTCTCACATTCATTTCAGTGTGTTCCACAAAAGCAAGATAAGATCTGATCATTCAGATTTTAATAGAGGGACCCTGCTTTGGCTGCACCTGGACACCTTAGATCAACTTGGACTTGCAAAGACAAAAATGGATTATAACAACCTGAATTTGTATTTCCTTGTAAACTTTGATAGTTTTTTTTAGATATATTTCGTAAAACGGTAGCAATTTAAGTGCTTTAAACTGTGATGGTTTACCTCAAGGTTATCTAGAAACCAAACGGGGGGTAAAATGGCTAAATTATAGTTTTTTAATGTTTGCAATCAGTTGGTTAAAAAAGTAGAAAATTAATTTGCATGTGATGTGACAAAGCATGTCAGGTGAATATAAATGTTAAACCACAGCATTGGAATAATGGATAAAATAAAGAACAGGATATTTCCATAATTAATTTCTGTATTAACACTTATCCAGACCTAGAATCGATATAAAAAAAAAAAAAGAAAATCATACTTTTCCAAATCTGTCAAGTCTGATAATAATCTACAAAACTGAATCAGACAGTAAGATGTGCTGTAAGGCAACTTTTTACCCAAAGCACAAAAAATTAGCGGAAGTAAAAGACGGTTTCAGAATATTTTTAAGAGCATCAGAAGAAACTGAAGACGACTAATGAACCAGGATGACGTTAACGTCAGCAGGTCGACTGGTCTCCATAGAACCTGTTGCCAACAGAGCTGGGCGCCTTCCAACCCAACATGCAGCGTAAAGGACAAGGCAGTAAATAAAAGACGTGGTGAGAAACTTTGCTTCCTACAAGTTCCAGGGAAAATTTTGGGACCTCTTGCCAAAAGGAAACTGCTTCTGAAATATCTAAAAAGGTGAAAATGATGGGCAACTAAAATCAATAATATTAATCTATACATGGTTCATTATGAGATTATCAGTCTGATAATATTGTGTATAAATACAATATAAGTTAATTACACCCAGCCTTAAGACTAAAACTTATAAGATTATCTAAAAATATACTCTTTTAAAAGATAAAAACAAAAAATGATTAATGCTGTAGCTAAAATAAAATCTAACCCTTCAAAATTAGATTCATGTTGGTTTAATATTTTCATATTAAACATGATATTAAGTAAAGGTTTCAAGTAAAAACGCTTCATGTTGGTTTATTTAATCTTTCTTTCTATACTTTTCTACTACTGTATCTTAATCTTAGTTGAGGTATTTGGACAATTGTGTATGTTTAGAATGGATAGTTACTGGTCCAGGCCTGTCAACTTCAAATACTTATTGTCTATATGTATAAATATTTTTTGTATTTTTGAATATGTTAGGGTTCTCAAATGGCTGTCAACAGGCTCATCGGTAAAATGCACAAGGCTGAGGAAGGTGGACTTATTGTTGCTTCAGTTAATACAAAGTATGAACTAAGACCTCTCTAATCCCTCCACACAATAGTGCCTCATTAGGAGAAGTATTAACACCTTGATCTTACCTAAAACACAGTTAAGATGTTGTAAAGAACAACAGTGGTTAAGTAGAGAAACTACCAATTAAGATTCTCCCTGCTTGCACCAACATTTCGTGTTTTCTTTGAGGGTTGCTGATTTAGATTTACGACAATTTAAGTTTCTTAGTCAAATTATAACAGAAGTAAATGTGCTGCACGTTCATTTATGGAGATGGCTTTGAATCCATCTAAAAGTGAAGTGATTACAAGCCCCAACTTTCTGGTCTTTCAAATCAAAAAAGGAAAACGCTGGTGGCTGATTGCTTTATAGAACCAAACTGGAAGTGGGAGTTTAATCAAATATATATATATATATATATATATATATATATATATATATATATATATATATATATATATATATATATATATATATATATATTAAAAAAAAACAGAGAAAAAAAATGTAAGCATCACTGGTCAGATGCGATCAAGTGTTAAGTCAATTTTAAATTAATTCAATCCATGTTTTTTTTAAATGTGTCTCATTTGACACAATTAACGATAACTCACTTGAACAACCAATGGAAGAATAAAGATTCATTTTGAAAAAGCTTTTCTTAAATATTTATCTTTGCTTCCATTGTATTTTTTTGCCACTCAGTTCATTCTCAATAATTCTATCAAGTATTTAATAAATAAACACTAAATCATACAGGAGCAGGAATTTTAGGCATGCTGGGACCATGCTTTTTTATTGCTTCACAGTGATTCAGTGCAGATTTTGTTCTGCTTCACTCAGAGAGTCAAGTCTTACCCAGCTCTCCTTCATGTGTTGCTGGGTCAACCCATTCCTCTCCTGGGCCCAAGCTGGCCCAGTCCAGCACTGCTTCACTCAGAACACTAGAGTACAACTCTGTAGCAGAGCAAGGTGGCAGATTAGGATTATTGGTATATATATATATATATATATATAATAAAGGGACTACATAAACAACACAATATAATTTCAATCAATTCAATTCATCAAATCTTATGTGAAATCAAACTGTCCACACTGATTGCCAGTCAATTCCACATGCTGTTGTGAAATTGGAAAAGACAACAGCTGGGAAATATTGGGAATTAACAAGCCACACTTAATAGGGAGCCCTGTCACACCTTGATGATTTAGACCACCGTATTCCTGACGTACAGAAAACCTGGCAAAAAACGCTGGCATACGTTGGATAAGTTATGGGTACGTTTTGTATTAGTTATGAGCACCCTGAAACACGCTGAAACACGTCGACATATGGCTCAAAATTTCCCGACATGTGCCAGCGTATGCTCATACGTGGTCCCTATGTTAAGGCCAATTTATACTTCTGATGCATAGCCTCTGCAACCCTTAAATCTGTCTCTGTGCGCGACCACACCCCCGCGCAGAGGCTCTGCAATAGTCGTCGCACAGCAAAAAAAAAATCCTGACTAACCGTCGGACGGTCGCAAACCCACGCAGACCTTAGGCGGAAGTGCACAGACAAAAAGCAGCTGTGATTGGTCCTTGGTATGCCTTTCAGGCCGTCTGTGTGGTCGTCCTTCTCGATTCGGTGCCGGGGCGCGCCATTTTTAAAAACCGAGGAACAACTGCAATGGACAACTATGATGAAAGGTTAATCGAGGAGTTTCGCACTATTAAAAAAACTGTTCCTCTTCGATGTCTAGCAACTCTAGATCATTTCCATGACCGCGATACCTTGCAGACGTGCCATTGTTTTTTTGGACGATAAACACTCCTGCCGGCGCCGCCGAAGTTCTCATGACCATCCGCCGAAGTTCTCGCGACTTCTCCAATAGGCCTCCCCTTGTGCTTTGGTGGGAAACTGCTGTGGGTCCCTAGAAATTCCACACCGATGGTGCAGAAGCATACCAAAACTAGACCCAAGCAACATTTGATGTGTGCGGTTGCAGAAGTCTAATCTGCACTTTACAGGTAAGTTATCTGATCATTGACATACGTTAAGTGTAAATTCCTCATAAGCTGTGGTGTCTAGCCTATCGAAAACCTATGAGTAACTTGTGCAAAATTTATGTGTAACTTATCAATAACTTATCTCCAATGCATATCAACGTATTTGATGTTTTCCAAACAAAAAGAGGGTTCCCAGGAGGAAAGACACTGGCTTGTGACACTTCATGGGCATCGCGCTGCTGTGCGTTACGCATAAGTTAAGCTGTCGTTGGACTTGCGCTCTGGACTCGTTATGAATACTTTATGTAAACACCCAAAATTGAAAAATATATAGAAAGTTCAGCGTATGCAAGCGTTTTAGAACATTCTTGAACGTCAGGCATACGTTGGCTAAATCTTCAAGGTGTGACAGAGGCTTAAATGAGTAGTTCTGCAGGTGGGGACCACACACCACTTCTCAGCACCTGCTTCCTGATGTTTGGGTCACTTTTGAAGGTTGTAGGTTGTACACAGACTCTACGACCCACATACAAGTGGCTCAGGTATTGCAGCTCATCCAGGATGGCACATCAATGAGAGCTGTGGTAAGAAGGTACTGTCAGCAGGCAGGACAGTACACCAGGAGATGTGAGAAGGCCGTAGGAGGGCAAGAATCCAGTAGCAGGACCGCTACCTCCGCCTTTCTGCAAGGATGAACAGGAGGAGCATCGCTAGGGCTGTGTCTGACTTATATGTATTGAAGTCCCACAGGACCTTAGCTCTGGCCTTTTACACCCCCTTAGGAAGTGGGCTCCCATTTTGACCTGGGGGTCTCCAGTTTGTGTTCTGCACAGATGTTTCTTTACAGTATACCAGCCACTTATTAATGACGTTCCGTTTATTCCTTTCCTGCCAGTATTTTACATACAATGATCAGTGCTTCTGTTTTGTCCTTCAGCCCGGACCTCTCTAAGCATTGGTAGGAGTTTGTCATATCAGCCACTTAAGGTATCTGTCAATGGTCCATCTTATGCAGGGGGTTTCCCTGCATGAGAATATATAGATTTAATATTTTTCCTCTCCATCCTGTCAGGAGCAGTGAGGTCTGTTTCTCAGCAGGTTATCTGTGTTCTGCATCTTGCAAAAGTTTTACCTTCTTGAACTTGTCAAAGAGGATTTACCTGATTCTTGCATTTCTGTCTATTTTTTTTTAACTTCCTGAAGTCAGGGAACAAAAGTGGGTCATCAAAGTTTAGACTAAGTGACCTCTGGTTGCTGATAAAACCTCATTACGATACAGAAGGAAACAAGCCAGCAAAAAGCCAGTTTCACTCACAATCAGCTCCTCTACTTCCACATTTGACCAACGGACTGCTAAAGTGATTTAGAAGGAAGTGGAATTTCACAGGAAACATTGAAAATAAAGCCATCAGTCTATATTATATGCAATTTTGGAAATCAAAATCCTAATTAATAAAAATATGAACACCGACCCAGTGTAATGATAAATTACGAATATTTAGCTCCTACTTTACTCTTCATTCTTCCAAGTGTCTCCCTATGCTTTGTGTTGGAGTCAGATATATTTGGTCACAAGACTCCAATTTGGCCCGATGGTCATGGGGCTAAACTAAATCAGAGGCCAGGGGGGCTGGTCATAAGGCTGGGGAAAATGAATTAGAGCTGAACAGAGGTCAAGTCAAACTGTAAATGCTATAAACAGCAACTCAGTCTTCTGAACAACAAGGGCTCAGTCCCCAGACTTTAATACACAACAAACAAGACGACCAGACTGCCCTAGAAGGTTAGATGGAATTTCTCATTTCAACAAGGTAATGCAAATCATTTTTGAACAATACCTGTCTTTTTTTCCCCCACTCTGGCTCAAACTTTAGACTAAGAGCCTCCTTTGGTTTCCTGCTTGCTGAAACAACCACTCTTTTAATCCTGGAATGCAAAGGAATGCAATTACCTACCTGGATACACACACCTTTATCCCACTGAGTGTGTAACGACATATAAAGCTCCCTTTGATCGCTTATGTTTATTGAAGAACTAAAAATAAAATTCTAAACAAAATTAAAAGCAATACAACATAATCATCAGGGGGTTTTTTTCTGCATGGGGGCTCAGAGGAAGCTAACTTGCAGGAAAGCAAGCAGATAATAATAATTTTAAAAAAAAGCTGAAAACACAGAAACAACAGATATCCTCTAAGCCAGGAAATAAAATCCACCAATAGCCTAATGGAGCTCAAACAAAGTCCAAATTATTTCCTGGGGACTCTGCCCATGCTTCTTAATCCAGTCTAAAAACATAAATAGCACATAAAACTTAGTTTAGATTCCTACTGTAAGGTAAGCAAATTATCATTTTCTTATTTCTTTATATTTATTCTGTCATTATAGTGCTTCTCAGTTTCAGAGGTGACAACCTTTTACTTGCAGGGTTTACAATCCAGTGCTGAGCAAGCTGTAGTATAAAGCTTTGAATACTATTAAAAACATGGGGGAAGGGCGATGACCTGCGGAGGGTGAACCCGACTCACCTTGTTGTCTGGTTTCCATCATAGACGCTCAGGTGAAGTTTCCACGTAGCCTTCAGAGACAGACCGCACGCGCAGCTCCGCTTCTGAGACCAGAAACGACGAGGTGTCACGCGCCGTGCAAGCTTACAGGCGGAGCTTTGGTTACCGGCCAATGGGCTGCAGGTACGGCAAGACGTTTTATCACGTAGTGTATACGAGGCTCTATCCAGGGGCGGAGCTAAATGGGGGGCCTTTGGCCACCCCTGTGCCCACCTCTAATACAGACTATATTATATATTCAATATTCAAACCATTAAAATTTTTAATATATTCTCAATTACTTGACAACAAAACTCTATGGTTAATTATGCTAATCAATACATTAAAGATGATAAATACAGAATTAATGCTCTTTTCAGAACTAGATTTTTAGTTATATGGAGTAAAGAGAAAATAATGTGTCTCTGCAAGTCATCTATGAGTCTTTGGTAAAATCAGATAAATAAGTATTTTAATAAAAACGTATTAAATAATCAATTCATATAGATATTAGTACATGTAAATATCAATTTTATGCCGAAGTATTATTGATAAAAGTAGGTTAGTAATGACAATGGAAAAGATGTTCGCCCCAGAACTCAAACCTGAAAGAATTTTATCCACTATACCTTTTATTTAGACACCATGGATGTTTAAATATATGCGTCTATTTGTAAGCAAAGGCTGTAGGAAAGTATAGATTGTCTTTATTTTGAAAATATCGATGTTGCGCTCGTTCATTTTCCTGTTGGAAGAGGAAAACCTGAGGTTCTGGTGCCGATCCACTTTTGGCCACCCCTCAGTGTACATTGAGCCTGGCCACCCTGATAAAAATGTTCAGGCTACGCCTCTGGCTCTATCAGGTACATGTCGGAGGCTCAAAACAATTACACTTGATGATCTTTAAATATTTTTTTCATGCAACATATTTAAGATTTGATCATACGAAGGGTTCCACTGTATTACTCTGAACATCAGAGTCGATTATTACTGTCTATAAAATACAGAGAATATCTATATCTTTAAAATATTTTGTACACCCCTGGTTATACCATGCTGTCTTATGTGTAGTTTCTTATATTTATCGTCTAGACTATATTTGTGGATTGGTAAAGTTCAGTTCTTCTTTTTTTGAACTACTATTTACTACTATTTTTATATTTTCCATGTTGTATACATTTGAGGATTATATTTAAAAGTGTGTGAATTAAAATACATTATAATGCATTTTGAGTTTCATATTTTGTTCCTCCTTAAAAATCAGCAATAAAATAATGTAAATGATCATGCTGCTTGAGGGGGTGAGTTATTTTTTGTGTGTGGAAATTTTAACCATTATATGCATAGGGAGAGATGCAATTCTAGGGATAACTCTCTTGGAACACTCAATGGTTTCTCATCAAATTAAGTGTTTTTTCCTATTTATAATTTACATTTTAAATGTCCTGAAAATTATTTTTCCTAAGACCATATTGCGCCTCTCCCCCTTTCGCTTACAGTGCTGTAACAAATACTAAACACAAAGCCCACACTAAACAAAATCTACATATGTACTATTTACTATACAATCCTAATTTTCTTTTATAAAATTTGTTATAGATCATAATTATATGCAGATTTAGTATAGATATTATGCCATCACAAAGCAACCTTTCCCACCCCCCAAGCTTCTACATTTGTTTAGTTCTCTCCTCTTTACTCATGTATACAGCATTCTAAAGATCAGATAGTTCAGAGTGGTTGTGAGCTGCTTACTGGCATCTTTTAATGAGATGTTAGGAAAAGGCCAGACTGATTATGGAGTAACCAGGGTAGCTCCTCCTCAGGGACGTGCACAGATATAGACCCGGTGGTGCTGGAGCACCTGCCCTTTTCACACTGAACCAAAGAAATGCCATAATGGTGATTTCTTTAAAAAAAACAACAACACTGTAGCTTTGATGTGTGGCCCATTTCTGGATTTAAAAACTATTACAAAAGCCGCTAACTTTTATACTTTTGCATGACAAACCCCCCTCTCATCAAAACTGAATGGTTTAAAATTGGTAATTATTTTATAGACAATAATGTTTCGTTATACTGTGTTCTGTTGTTACCAATCTTATCTGAAAACCAACCTGTAGAGTGTTCAATATTATGAAAGACATTTATCAAACAGAATATGGCTAATCATTTGAAATAGCCGAGCGGTGCTATGCGCTGCACAAATTCCCCTTTTTTTCTACTTGAGCACCTGCCCCCCAATATGTCTGTGGACAGCGCTGCTCCTCCTCCACATGTTTCTGCACATTCCTTATCAGCTTGGTTACAACAGTTTACAGGTTTACTGTTCCAAAGTAAATGTTTGTATTAAAACATATAAGATGCCAGCTATCGTGAACCTCTGCACAAATATTTTGGAAATCACATAAGAACTGGAGGCTTTTTTTAAAGTAAAATAGATTAAATTGCAATTCAGTCTTCTACCAACCTCATGGTAGATATGTAAAATATGACAGTCTGTGAGCGGATATTCAATTTCAAATATCCATAAAATATTGACAGAAACTATTGTTCCTGTTGGTAGTTAGAGTTTAGATGGTCAGACTGTATGGAATGTACATGTCTTGGATTATACAAGTGCATTTTCATGTTGTTGCTGTTGTTTCCTACAAAATATATATTCAGAGTCATGAAACTATTTGAAAATAACCATAAAATTCCATTTAAATAACAATATTTAAAATATCTTTTTCCAATATTAACAAAAAAATATATATATATAAAAAAGAGCCTACTTCAATTATATACAGCGATAAACTGCCATAAATTAGTAATTAACTGATCAGCAGCACACTGGGGAAAAAACATCAGCAGCTAATAACATTATGACCACTCACCACAAAATGGGTTCTCTCTTGGAGAAAATGTGGAAAATTCCAGATTTGGTATTCAGTCTGTTGTACTTAGACTTATGGAAACTATTTAAACAATTCTGCAGGCTAAACAATTTGTGATAAAATGAAAAAAATGTGACCCATGTTTTCCTACTATGGCACAATTGTGACCTCTAGTGACAAAGAAGTGTTATCACAACTCAGACTGTTTGATGCCTGAGATAGTAAGGCTTTTTTAACAGTTGGTAAATCAGGGTAAAAAGAAAAACACCTCAACATTTTTGGCATTTGGTTTATTGTCCATCAAATTCGTAGATAAAATAGTGTCTGTGCCTTTGCTAAGATAGCAACAGTAATATCAGCAGATATCTCTGACAGTGGCAGCATTTCGGTTAAAACGGTTTGGTTTGTTGAACATTTCCTTGTAAAGAGATACTTGAAATAAAAGTGACTATATAAATCTATATATATATAGATAGTATACCATCCTGAGGTTACCGATAAATCCACCTTTACTGGTTTAGCAGTGGCGACTTGTAAGGTGTCACTTCCCAAATGCAGACATTTAATTAGCTAAAGGCGACACAACTTCCTACACATTTCCTCCTTCACAGGAGATCTAATGTTTTAGGCAGGGCTCAAAGTGCAACACATTATTATTCTTTTTCCCCCAAGTGAAGAAAAGCATGAGCCATAAATAAAGTGACCGTTAGACGTGCAAATTTACAGGCAGGTTTTGGATGCAGCCTACACCCTGGCTGTGGTTTGGGGATGTCAAACATATACTTATTGCCTTTTGTTTAGTAAACAGTCAGCAACAAGATCCGAAATGTATTTACCATTTGCTTCATTTAGTTTTATAAGATTTTCATGTATGATTATTTGCATTTTAATTTTGCCGTTGTAATAAATATATAATAAGGCCAGACTGTGATACATTCTCTTTAAAAACACAAGTTTATAATCTGATCTACAGCCATGGTGATGGCACCATTTACGCAACATGTCTTAATGGGAAAATATATATTTACATCTAAGCTGACAGCTAATATGGCCCTAATAAATTTGCATCAACAACAACAAAACAAAGAAAAACTCGATCATAAAATACAATTTCAGTCAGGGAAAAATAATGTCTTCAAAATTCAAGTTCATTTAAAGTTCTTTATCTGGCGACAGGCTAGATTAGCACAGTTGTAATTTCAGTGATGAGAAAGTCTACCTGCAGTGAGTTGCAAAAATCTTCATACTTCTTAAAGTTTTTCACATTTGTTTGTGTTACGATATAAATTGATGCATTTCATTATCTAAAAAGACCAACAAAGACTTTTGAAATTAAGATAATTATTCAAATTCAACAAAAGAGAAAACTGAAGCATGTTTTGCTTTGTATTAAACCCTCTTTGATCTAATAACAGTAAAACAACCCTCGTGCAATTATTTGCCATTGTTATCAACTAGAAATAAAAAATGTATGTATGCCCAAAAAGGAACACAGCACATCAACCTGGACAAACAGTCCCTACATCGAAACACGGTGGTGTTAGCATCATGCTGCTGGGCCAGATTTAACCCTCACAGACTGAGCTTCACCTATCTTGCAAAAACAAATTGGGCAAAAATCTTCAGTATAGTTATGCAAGCAGCTAGAAAGATGAACCAAAAGACTTGCAGCTGTTGGTTGCACAAAGAATTGACTCATGGGAGCTGAATACAAATAGATGCCACGCTTTAACTTTCCCATTACTTCAGGATTACATGCTAGTTTTTGTTGGTCTTTATATGAATTCCCAACAGACCACATTGTAGTTTGTGTCTGCCGGGTGAAACATTTTGAAATGAATATTTTTGCAAAGCACTGCAAATGAAAACCCTCTGGTAAAATGGCACAAAATAATAGTAAAAAAAAAAAAAATGTTTTGACATTGCGTAAAGAATGTAGGGAATGACAATAACCTCTGTCTAATTGTGGCAATTTAAACTCACACGTTCTTTATAAACAAAAACTTTAAAAGAAAAAAAAAACAGCTGTTAATTAACAGTGCAGAAGTAGGAGAACAGTATGAATAAAACACGTAAAAGCATTTCATTTCTCATTTAACCTTAGACGTACAGTTTCCAAGCCCTGATATTTATCACTCTGCTTTTCACCCATGCATATCATCCCTCTGACCCCTTTAAAGGGTTCACAATCCAGCTGAGTCAGGCTGGGAAACAGAGTCGAGGTTGGCAACACTAAAACGCCTCTGATCTCCTTTTGAAGCAGCTGTGCACTTTGCTTCCTGGAATTCAATTTGTTTAGTGAGGCAGCCTACCAGGAAGCATTTCGAATCTGCTCTACTGTTCAGCAATTTCTTTGGCCAATGTACAGGCTGGGCTCTGGGTCCAGTGAACACAAAACAAACTTCCTGAGAGGATTCAACCCAGACTTACATAGGACTGCTTGGTCCAACTAAAAGCAGTGTGAAAGGATGCATAATATCAGTGTATTTAGTGAACTCTCTCATTACAGTGTAACTTTTTATGACACCTATTAACACTCAGATGTAGAAAATGGGTCATATTCCTGGGATTAAGCTCAACTAAAACATTTTGCATTGCTGAAATCTTAGAAAAGCATAAAGATAAATCTCATTAATTGTTGAATGAAGGTCCAGTGCTGCAACTTTTACAGATTTACAGATGCAAAAAACAAAATTCAAACCATCTTTTTCCAGCTTCAATGAGGGCATTTTTTAAAACTCTATTTAAGAGAGCAAGAAGAAAAAAACAACAGATCAATGTAAGTTGGTATAAGTGACTTGATGAATGTTCTGTTTTTGCATATCTAAAGCTCAGGAGCATGATAAGCCATTATCCATATATCAATCTGATAAAGTTTAATTCTTTTATATACTTATGTAAATTCTTTGCAGAGCTCCAGGCTTTACATTCAAGCCTCAGTGTTGAGGAAACTGACCCAAGTTCATAAAGAGAAAAAGTCCTCCTGCATAACTTGTAACGTATAAAAATCTGATAACCTCTAGAATAACAAATCTATATAAAACCCTGTCGAACTCATTGGTAAAGCACTGCCCAGACTACATAATATAAATAAAAAATAGTATTGTCTTTAATCCTTCAAAGTACTTTTTTACCATATCTAATCTCACTATGCAATCTTTAGTTTTCTTCCCTAGGTGGAATACTGCACCCTGCCAAAGTGTTCACAACTTTTCAAACCTTCTCACATTATGTCATGTTATAATTGCAAATCTTTGGCTTACATACATAATATGTCTGGAGAAAAACTACCACTGCATATCACCCTGAACATGCCATCCTTTTGGATAAACTTTAGCGGGGGAAGGGGGTTGGTGAGGCAAGATGGGAGGATGGATGGAGCTGCTACGGTGGAATCCTGGGAGGAATGAGATCCGACTGTCCGGCAGGGTAATGACTCAGCCAGAGCTACAAAGGAAGGCTTTAAATGAAGCCTATTTATGCATACCTGAGGTAATCCTTTTTTACAGACGCTCTTAATACAATCTGATTGTAGGGGCGATGAGGGTAAATAACCTTAAATTGTTTCCTTTGCTTATCTTTGGATTTTTAGCATGACAAAATGTGAAAAGGTTCATGGAGTATGACTATTACTTCAGAGCATCAATTATGCTAAAAACTAAAAGATTTAAAAAAAAAACAACAAAGCGACCAGATCAACGGAATGTTGCTCCACATTCAGCATTTTGTTTTGGCAATAGCTACCTTTTCTTTTTGGCTTTTGATGAGAGGGTAAGCAGGCAGAGCAAAGATGAGGTCTGGATGTGGAGCCGAATAGCAGGGGTGAAAAGACAGGGAGCCAGGACACAAAACAGCAGGAGGGACGTCGATGTCGCGGTCAGAACTTTAAATATTTAAGGTCCCGGTTCGTCTCATGAAACACTTCTTTCACCATATTTTCCTCGGTATTTGAGTCAGATTTCAGTTGGAAATTTCCACTTTTGAACAGATTAAACTCTGGTTGATTCATTTCCCTATCATGGCTCCTTTCTTGTGCTCCCCAACAGCTCTGCTCAGACCTTTTCATACAGTCATGCCTGTCATAAATATGTTTTTTCATTTTGGGCTTTTAATAATAGATCTGAATCATTATTTTACCAGTGTGAAAACTCAAACATAGAGTGCAGCACAGAGCCATCCCAGAACTCTAACATTTATTGTCCTGCTGGGGTTTTTTGTCCCAGATAATGATCCCTTTGAAAGACACAACTCTGTCCAAATATCACCCACATTTTGGTGGATCTTTAAATCTACACCAGTAGGTGCAAAACAGCCCCATAGCATCATACTGCCACCATCATTGGAGGAAATTACTCCTCCAAAGACAATTTTTATTATTGGGGCCAAAAGGCTCAATCTTTGACCACAAAAACCTTTCTTCTAATGATATTTGGCTAATGTTTTTGAAAGGCAGGAAACCAAATCGTACCCAAAGTTGGGTGGTAGAGACATCTTATCTTAAAAGCATTCAATTTTTTTTTTAAAAGCCCAGAATTAGTTTGGCATTTATCTCCATGAAGAGTTTATGGATAGTTTGTTCATCCAACTCTCCTAAAGCTTCCTTCAACCATCTAGCTTCAACTGAAATGCTCTCAAAACTGGATCTTTTGCTTTAGATTTCTTCTTTTACGGATTAAATTTAGGTAAAAGAAATAATTAATCTGATGAAATGTTCAGAGAGTGTGCTATAATCTGACCGTAACTCATTCTTCACTGTGTGGCAATGGTGTTAGAGAGAGACGTCACCTCAAAGTACATTTCGAATAGGTTTGGGTTGCTCTTCTCTTGATATCCAGCCTCCGTGCTTTGACAGCAGTCCCATGCGAATTTAAATAAACTAGATGGGTTGATGTGCAATTATCAAGGCCTCACTCTGCTAACAGAAAGTACCACTCAAACAGCCCATGCTTATTTTATAAAGTCTCCTCAATTAGAGTTTTCTGGGGTCTCAGGCTGGCGTGTCCGTCCCTGAGGAGATGGGTGTCACCTTTATTGGGCTAGGTGTACGGATAGTTAGATCCACCGTCCGGAGCCCCGGGTTAGCTGCTGTTTCTTCCTCCTTTTGCAAACATAGTAGACGGGGAAAACAAACAAACCTAGACAGAAAGGAAGAAATGGATGCAATTATTTAGTTTTAAAGTAAAAAAAAAAGCCTCAGAAATGGCCAAAATGAAAAAAATTTTGTTTACATAGAGTTTGCTTTCATTTTTAATATCAAATAAAAAAAGAAGCAATTTGTAAATTCTGATTCTATTTGTTAAGGGAAAAAGACTATCTGAGCCAACCAGGCCCCATGCGCACTGGAGCGGTTTTAAACATGAACAACCATGTTATTGCACCTTAATGGAATTCAAGCTTGCAGTATGACTAGAAAACTTCAAAAGCCTTATTTTTATTTTTTATGCTGAGCTATTTTATAAAAGTAGGCTGTACATTAGATCAGTGTCCTCCTGCGTGACCTCAGGGAGACAATCTCCTTCACAGCCTTTGCATTTGCACCATTCCACCACCATGTTTGATCTTTTCTCCTTTACGCCAGATTCTATGAGATTTTTGTATCAGCGATCAATACAGAATATTTTCCCCAAAGGTATTGTGGAATCATCATCAGGTGTTTTCAGTAAATGCAGTGGTTTTTGCATTAGAAACCTTCCATGGAGGACAATTTTCCCACTTTTAATGAGAAGTGAAGCTTGCAGAGCTTTAGATCTCATTCTGGGTTTTCCTGTTAGATCCTGGATGAGTTAATGCGTTCTGTGAGTAAATCTTAATGGTCAGCCGCTCCTGAAAAAGTTAATTGTTTTCACATTTCCTCCAATTGTGGACAAAGCTTTCAGTGTTGATCACCAGATAAGACAATCATTGATTAGTTCAAAAAGCAAGAATAAAGCTGTGTGTGGATTTGTATGCATTTCAAGATTACTTACTACTTTTTACTTTTTGTTGATGTTTCAATGAAGTGATAAGGATTTAATCTGATTTTTCCACATTCAAGCTTAATCTGGTCAAGAAAAATACATTGAGCCAAGAAAAAGAAAGATAGCGGCACAAAGTGGATTCTAACAAAGCGAATGTAAATCTTCCATCCCGGCATATTAGTGTTCAGAAGATCATCCGTCAGATTTACCAACACAGGAAAAAGATTAACAGTAATCACATTCAGCTGAAGCATCAATAGCTCCCAGTGCAACCCGATGAATGACTCAGCGTTACTGAGTGTCTCCAGACGGATGATGATGCTCTAGATGTGATTCAGCAAAATAATCATCAGAGGTGTGGTTTGAATCCATGACTTCAGAGCAGCTGCTTTGCTATGCTGAGAGAAACCTCCAAGTTTCCATGACTCAGGTGAGGTATTTCGAGGTTAAGTGTTTGGCGTGTGCGTGTGAGTTTGCGTGTGCAGCTGTGTTACCTATCACCAAAGCGAGAGCTCCGAGCACTATCACCAGCAGGAGGACCAACGGAGCTATCAGCACTTTGGTGGCTGCAGAGAGAGAAGTAAAACAGGGGAAGTAGGATGGTTACTGTAACAAGCAACGATCACCACAGCCTGCAAAATGACGCGCCTCATTAAATACAGATGGAGAGCTGCAATGTGTAAACGACTCTCACTGGGCTAAAACTGGCTCCTATATGCTGAGATAACGAAGCCTCTATCAGCACTTAGTCGTAGAAATGTACATAAATACATCTCCTCTACTCTGATAAAATCTAGTGCGATCAATTACTTCTAAAGTCACCAGTGGCAGTGGGAAGAAAAAGGCTTCCGTTCGTGTAAAGTGCCATGTATGGCTGAAAACTAATACCCTGAATGCACCGTCCTCTAGGAGATACTAGGTTATGGTAGCACCATGGTGTGGGGCTGAAGATCTGAATACAGAAAACATAAAAAAAAAAAAAACTCTTTAGAGGTAGGTAAACATTTGATACTGGGATCCTTCAGCAGGATACTGACACTAAACAGTCAGTAGGATAGTTTAGGTTTAAGCTTTTGTAAGGTCAGTTCACCTCTAAATCCGATTGAAAGTACATGTTTATAGAAGCTCTCCATCAAATCTGACAGAACTGGGACTGACTATTCTTTAGAAAACCCCTAATTTCCAGGATTAAAGGACTAACGTCTCAACATGATCTGGAAAAACTGATCCATGCATTTATTTTTAGTCAAATCGATTACTGCAACAGTGTTTTCACAGGTCTGCCTAAAAAGTGGATCAGACAGCTGCAGCTGATCCAGAACGCTGCTGCCTGTGTCCTCACTAAGACCAAGAAAGTAGAGCACATCACCCCAGTTCTAAAGTCCTTACACTGGCTCCCTGTATCTCAGAGAATAGACTTTAAAATACGTCTGTTAGTCTAAATCCCTGAATGGCTTAGCACCTAAATACATCACAGACTTGCTATCAGTGTATCAACCCTCCAGACCACTCAGGTCTTCTGGCTCCAGCCTGCTCTGCATACCTAGAACCAGAACTAAACCTGGAGAAGCAGCATTTAGTTCCTATGCTCCACTTATCTGGTACAAACTTCAAGAAAACTGTAAAAGTGCGGAAAGCCTGAGTTCCTTTAAATCAAGACTAAAAACACATTTGTTTAGGATTAGTTCAACTTTTTTGTTTTCTAACATTCATTCAAGTTTTATGGTTTAATTAAAGTTTAATTCAGATATAAGTATAAACAGCCGTATTGCTACTGCTGATCAGGCAAACAATCCTCTTCAACATTCACGATTAAGTGCTGTGAAAAGGACAAAAAGTGAATTTGAAGCGAGGACCCTGCTGATACACCTAACCCTAACCCTTTCGCATGGATCAGGAAAGTACCACTTAAAGATCTATTTAAATAGGTTGGCTATAGCTATCATATAGTTAGGTGTGAATACGTGATGCAAACTTGAGATATGAAACTATTTAAAAAGGCTTGCTTAATCTAAACTGTTAGGAAACTGAGGCGATTGTCATTGTTAATCCAGATACGCTGGGAAAACGTCACAAACCAACATGTGAAGATATTATCCTAATGATTTAAGAGCATGCACTTGTTTGCAGTCGACTCAGGCTCACATAAAAGTGAGAGCGTTGGCCCTCAGTTCTGCTGAGTTGGTAACAAACATGACAATAAAAGAAAAAAAACACACATGCTGCTGCTGCCACCTTTTGTTTTTGATGCGACACACGGCCATTATCTCTGCCTACAGTGCCCTCTGCGTTTATTGGCATCCCTGGTGAAAAGCTGTGAAACACCTTAGATTCATAAATAAATCAGTAGTTAACTCACACTCAACCTTTAGAGGAAGTATCTTTAATTTCTGTAACTCTACTCTATTAAGGAAATGCTTTTTTTCCCTCAAAACAAATGGTGCCAAGTCCTGCCTCCTTAGAGATAAATGTAAACAAAGCGATGTTTAAACATATACTGCAATGATTTGAGTGTCTCAGATATTTTAAACCCCAGTAATACTATGTGGTAAGGATACATATTAAAGAAAATACAACATAAATTTGGATTTTATTTAAACTATGGACCATGGGGAGGAACTGATTGCTCAAATGGTGATTAAAACAGGCTTTTTTATTTCAGCTTGATCCGTTCCATCAAAGACATGCCATTTAACATTTGGCAGCAGGTGGAAAAATACTTGAACCCTCTTAAATGTCACTTTGAATTTGTACACGGTAACAGCTTCTGTACAACAAGAAACCAGGGATTTGCATGCACTATAAAAAATCCCCCCTAAAATAAAACTCTTGCTGGGATTGTTACTTTAATGGTTGATTTTCACTGTTAATAAGCGAAGCAAAACTTCTTTACCTCATTAAAATTAAATCACTGCAGGCTTCATAGTAATTAGATCGTTGGTTTGACTATAAGCAACAGACATTCAGGCCTCACTATTTATTGCAAAAACACAATGCATATGTTTTCCTAAACACCTTTTTGTTGTTTTGCAATGAATGCTAAAAAAACATCATGATAATCCTTCAAATCTATAGAGGACATCCCTGTTAGAAATAGATATTGGAACCTAACTTAAGCTCTAACAGGTAATGTGTATGAGATTTGTTAATACCTAAAACTTGTCTATATACTGATGCATACATTTATTTCAAATTTAAACCTGACTCACCTACTCCAGTTCTCTCAAGAGAAAATTCATGCAGCTATTGTGAGAAACTTGTGGGACAAAACCTAAAATCTTTCACTCAAATTAAACAATTTAAAAGGCAATTCTACAAAATAAAGAAAAAAAATGGGGACACTTATGTTAACTTGGAAAATAAAAAAATAATTCTGTTACTTAGCAAACAGAAATTATTTTAGCAGTCCTTACCGGCTTTAAACATGAAAAGGTTTATCTAGATTTTATGTCAGAGAAGAAGAAAAAGTGCATTGTAAATGCTGACGCCCCTACTGGTGACCTTTCACCCGCCTAAAGTAGCATAGATATATTATTTTCTCTATATTCACAAATACAACGCAACTAATTATATTTATTTCAAGTGAATTTATTTAATTGTCCTTTAATCACTTCACTTATTATTAAATGTTATATTTAATCACTCTTATTTACATTTCTGACGGGATATTTATACATTTAATACCTTAAAAATATATTGAATAATTCAAGAATGCTTTAAATTAATGAATAGCATATTACTGATTTCATGGGGAATTAACAGTTATTAAATTTTAAGAGAAGATCTAAATAAATAAAAATCTTGTTTTGCAGGATTTAGAGCAAAGTAGCAACATTTGATCATGGACAATTTGCTGTGATACAACTGAGAATAATTAAGAGTAAACTAACCATCTTAACGTCTGTCTGTTAAAATAAGGCCACAAAAGACACTTTAACTGTTTAAATGGGTCACTTCAAAATAGTTTCTGTTAAAATACAACTAAGCATGCCTGACATGAGGAACAAAGAGCTTAGAAGGCAAAACGTACCACAGACGGAGCCTCTGATGAGCCTTCTGAGGTGTGGCTTATCAGGGAGGTAACGATACTTGCAGCCAAACACGCTGAGGTTGGAAGTGTGGTCCCCGAAGAATCTGTCACAAGATTGTGAAACGTGGAGTCAGAGAGAATAAAGAGAAAACGGAGCAGCCAGAGCGAGAAGCAGAGCAGAGACAAACCTAAGGTGGCGGTAACGCTCTCCACAGCGGTAACAGAAGTTGGTGTTACACTGGGCACAGGTCATGTGATCGCACCCCTCCGTACGCTGAATGTGGATCTAAAGAGAGAAGAAACAAAAAAAAACTTTTCTATATCGCTCCCTCCCTTCATTAATCAGCTCCGCACTGACGCAGTGACAAGACTCAGCCTGCACTGCAACATCAGCACAAAGGCCTCCAATCCCAGGCGCTGCCCTGAGCTTTTACCTTGCAACGTGGACACTTCTGCGCATTCCTCTGCCCGTGCTCAATGACGCTCGCCCAAGTTCGCAGCAGCTTGTCCCCCTTCCTGTAGTCGCGACACTTGAGTCCATCATGCCAGGGCGCATGACATTTAAAGCACCACACAAACTGGCAGCTGCTGCACTGGATCTACAACAACGAAATAGGGAAATTTGGTATTTTAGAGACAACTAAATGTTGTGAAAGGGATAAAACTATATATTAGTAACTATATATATAATATTAGTGATGGATCAATTAAGGCTCCACAACGAGGGACACACTTATCATCACAATAATACAGTTTGCAATATGCATATTCCAAAGATCTGCTTGGACTGCTAGAAACATGAGCTTATTGTTTAATTATCACTCATTCAAGTTCTCTAATGCTAGACATTTGATAGCACTTGTTGCAGACAAATCAATAAAACGCAAAGAGGAAGTAAGGAGTTCAAAAACTAAATTCTTATTGCTTTACTTCTCTTGAAATTGTAAAAATCAAAAGGAGGATGTTAAATATTAAAGACAAAAGAAGTAAAACAAAACTCTGTGGAACAATAAGTAGCCTAAATATTGTGAAACAAGCTTGTTTTCCTTGTCTATCAAGGGGATTCTGTGTGCATAACTTGCAAGAAGAGATTTTATTTGCGTCTTTTCCAGAATCCATCTCATAACAATAATATGGTTAGAGAAAAAATAAGTGATCTTTAAGAATCCGCCTGATTGAGTTTCACTTTTACTTATTTATAGACAATTTAAAATATTCTTCTATAGAAAAAATAAAATATAAATAATATTCTTTTATAAAACAGCATCTTTAAGAAACATCCATAATCCTACAGAGTTTCTTGGACAAGGAAAGGGATTTAGTCTGATTCAATCGTTCTGAATATCATTTGCAGTTCCTCTTAAAACTGATCAGAGCACAACAACCCCACACTTGTACATTAACATCTATATTGTGGCTAAATTACTTTTTAAAGCACAGTTCCCAGTAAAAATGTATTGTAAACACCAAAAATAGCTGTGAAGGTCGGTAAAGTTAGCATACTTCATTGACCCCAACCACATATTTAAGCAGATATCTTTAGCAGGATGTTTTACTTTTTAACCGGTGCCTAAAGTCACTCAGACAGAAGGCAGAGTCTTTTATTTGTTTTTTAGCCAGGTTCTACTCAGCAGGAAGCATGATTAAAACGACACACATAAAACTAAATTTATTTTGAGAAATCCAAAAACCTCCAGCATGTATGATTATCAAAGCTCCAATGATGGAACTCATCATGTCCACATTCTCTCCGTCATGTAAACTTTATATCCCTCCAGACCTTTTCTGCAAGACCCACTTGTTCTAGAAGAACATTTCCAGGATTAAAGGACTAATGTCTCAGCATGATCTGGAAAAACTGATCCATGCGTTTATTTTAAGTCGAATCGATTACTGCAACTGTGTTTTCACAGGTCTGCCTAAAAAGTGGATCAGACAGCTGCAGCTGATCCAGAACGCTGCTGCCCGTGTCCTCACTAAGGCTAAGAAAGAAAAGCACATCACCCCAGTTCTAAAGTCCTTACACTGGCTCCCTGTATCTCAGAGAATAGACTTTAAAATACGTCTGTTAGTCTATAAATCTCTGAATGGCTTAGCACCTAAATACATCACAGACTTGCTATCAGTGTATGAACCCTCCAGACCACTCAGGTCTTCTGGCTCCAGCCTGCTCTGCATACCTAGAAGCAGAACTAAACATGGAGAAGCAGCATTTAGTTCCTATGCTCCACTTATCTGGAACAAACTTCCAGAAAACTGTAAAAGTGCGGAAAGCCTGAGTTCCTTTAAATCAAGACTAAAAACACATTTGTTTAGGATTGCCTTCAACTGTTCTAGATAAACAGTTCAACTAAAACATCATTAGTTCAACTTTTTTTTGTCTTTTTTTTATTTTCTTTAGTCCAACTGCTTTTAATGTTCTTTCTTGTTTCTGCATCTTTTTTTTATTTATTTTTTATTTTTTCTTCTACTTGTTCTGATTGTGTTTTATTTTCCTATATTTTAATAATGTAAAGCACTTTGCATTGTCTTTGTACTGAATTGTGCTATGCAAATAAATTTGCCTTGCCTTGCCTTGCCTAGACCAAATCCAGAACTGGTTAGGACTTCTGCATTCCCTCCTGTGTTAAATGCTTTGGGATCTTCAAAAGAGAGATGTCTTTGTTTTGCTACTGGATGTGTTACTTTAACAGCCCAATCCCATAAGCAGAAGATATGAGGTGGATGGATTGAAAGCATAAGCAACCGTATATTAGATTCCCCCGATATCCTGAGATCTGATAACGAGGGGTCAGTGGAGGCAGGTGGAAATGCCTGCTAACTGCCAATTAGACCGGAAAACACAGACCTGTCGCCATATGTTAGTGTCTAATGTGAGCTGAAATACAATCAAAGTCACTCGGGTCATTTCCTGGTGGAGGTTAGAAATGACAAACTAAAGTATGCACCACAGCCTCTGAGCAGCATCATCCTTTCTGCCATTAAAACCTCCAAAGGTGAGCGTGAGCTCTTACCTTGTACTTGTGCTCTGAGCGGTTTGTGCTGTGCGCCTTCAGGGAGGTGAAGTGGCTGCACTGGGGACAGGGCTTCGTGCTTGAGTCCAGCTGACTTAGCTCCAAAAAGTAGCGGTACTTTGCCACCTCTTCATTGCTCAAGTGAGAAATCATTAATCCCTCCTCCAGGCTGCCGGCACACTCCGTGATTGGACAGCTGATGAGAACTTTTCCCTCTCTCACCTGAAAGAAAACACATTTTTTTGGAAAAGAAACACATCCAGGCTTCTCCTGCAGCATCAGCTGTTCAGTCGTGAATAAATGTGAAGGTTTGATACATGTGGATCTACATATTAAGTCAATTCACACAACTGATGAATGATTAACCTCAAAATGGAAGGAGCGCATAGCAGATTAGTAGAGGCTAATGTTTGTCAAAGAACTGACAGGTGTGCACTAATAGTGATATTACCTTTTCTACAAAGCCTGCTGGCCCTGAAGTTTGACCTAAAATTGTTATTTAATAAACAAAAAGTGGAGCATTTTAAATAATCAAGTTTAAAGTTGCTGTATATTCAATAAAAAAAAAATGATTTTAATACCAAAAGGGAAATTCAATTTTGCAATAACTCATAGTTTTTGTTTTGTTTTTTGTTTTTTTGGGGTTTGAATACCATTTTGAAAACATTTGAAAACCATTTTCCAGTCTTGCAGAGAATTCCAACCACTCGCACTGTTTCACGTTTATTACATGTGATACACTGTGAACACAAATTGGAAAAAACATTTTTAATTCCACAAAAAATAGAAGATGCCTTATTTCCCTTATTTTGGCTTTACTGAACCTCTATCAAGATTCTTCTAAAGAAACTCTAATGCAACAAATCCCCTAAAGTCAGCTTATTGTTCAATAGAATCCACCTGTGTGTAATTAAAGCTCAGAGTAAAAGCCTCGGTTCTGTGAAACCTCAGTCTTTAGAGACTTCTGATCAATAAAAACATCAAGAGTTAAAGCACAACTGCAAACTAGGGCTGAACGATTTATTTTATTTATTTTAAACCAATATTGCAACTCTGATTTGATTGTAGGTAGATGTTCCACTCGAGGGTGTCAGTTCCAGAGTCTATTATTGCAGGACTTTACTGTAACCTTTGTGTGAAAAATGTCTTAATTCTTCTGCCATGGCTGGATCTGTGAGAGCTGCTACTGTGTCTGCATTTCTGTGTGGTGGCAAACCCACTTTAAGCATATTAAAACCACCCAAAGGGCTGGAGGGAAAAAATGGCATACTCAATTTAACTTGTTCCTGCTATATGTAATCAGTGGTGGCTGGTGGAGTTTTCTCAAAAGGAGGGGCTATAAATTCAAAATAGACGTATACCAAAAACCAATCAAACGTATACTAAGTTATCACACCAGTATACACTCCTGATCAAAATCTTGAGACCAGTCAAAAAATTGCAAGAATTTGCATTTTGCACTATTGGATCTTAAGAAGGTTCAAAGTAGAGCTTCACAATGTTAAAGCAAAAAATCAGTGCAAGAGACAAAAACTTTTGAGCAGGGAATTTTCTGAAAACTGCATTTACACTCAAACATTATTTTTTTCAGCTGATCAAAAGTTTAAGACCATAGTCTTTAAAAGCCAAAAGCTGTGCAAAATCTGGATTCCATGTCATTTTCTGTCAAGTCTTTACACTGTCAAGACCTCCTGATGGCAAAAGCAAAAAAGCTCACTGACTTTGAACGTGGTAGGATTGTTCAGCTGCATAAGCAAGGCCTCTCACAACGTGCGATCGCTGCTGAGGTTGGACGCAGTAAGACAGTCATTTTGAATTTTTTAAATGATCCTGAGGTTTATGGAACAAAAAAGTCAAGTGGTAGACCCCAAAAAATGTCACCAGCTCTGAGCCGCAGGATCCGATTGGCTGTCCGTTAAGACACAGGCCGATCCTCTACCCAAATTAAGGCCATTACTGGTGCTGACTGCAGCCCAATAACCATCAGAGGGCATCTGCGAGAGACGGGGTTAAGAAACAAAAAACGTCTTTAAAGGCCACGTCTTCTTCAACGCCACAAAATTGCCCGTTTGGACTTAGCAAGGGTGCACCAAACATGGGACATTGAAAGGTGGAAGAAAGTTGTCTTCTCTGATGAGAAAATTTAACCTTGATGGTCCTGATGGCTTCCAACGTTACTGGTATGACAAGTAGATTCCACCTGAGATGTTTTCTACATGGCACAGTGGTGGGGGTGCCATCATGATTTGGGGTGCGTTTTCCTTCAATGCAACAATGGTTTTTGTCTCTTACGCTGATTTCTTTTTTTTTTAACATTGTGAAGCTTTACTTAGAATCTTCTTTGGATCCAATAGTGCTAAATGAAAATTCTTGCAATTTTTTGACTGGTCTTAAGATTTTGATCAGAAGTGTATTTATATGAATGCCAACAACAAAAAACATTATAAAAACAAAATATCATTTCATGTAAAGGTTTACTTTTTGTACATAAATCTTGCCATTTTGAGGCTTTGAGAAGGCAAAGCTCCGTGTTTTGCATGGTCTAATATTGTGTCACAAACCTAAAAAAAAATAATAATAATTTACCAGTTTAGTCAGCCTTACACTTTTTTAATTAATAAAAACTAAACTGTATTTACTTAAGAGCAACTATGCAAATTAACAAACACCTAGAAAAAGTACACTTACATCTTATTTTCCATGTGAATCCTAGATTGTTCATGCTTCTTTGCCTTTTCTAAAAAGTACCTGTCTTCCTTGCTGGGTTAGATCCTGACATTTGAAAAAGGGAAAGTAGAATAAAGCGTTAGCCTTGCTAAATGCAGTTAGTCAAGCCTCGTAACTAAACCAGGTCCACGAAAAAGACAGGGTGTACCGTCTGTCTTTGGACTACTGGTTAACTTTGATGTTCGGGTCAGGTCCAAATGCTTTTACCTCCTGCTTCTCTTGTTAACTTTGCTTTTTTTTCTCTCTTGATAAGTTTTACTTTTCACGAGAGTCTATAGCCAAAGATTTTTGCGACCCAGGGTGGAAATAGGTAACCAATCCGACGACAAACAGAACAGCTTTACTCGTCATTAAAATGTAACTATTTATCTTGCACATATAAAAAATATCAAAATATTTAGAAATATTTTTATTTTATAATTTAATATCTATTTGTTTTTTATATCTTCAAGTTCATTGTGTGGGTAGGATGTAGCCCTAGTGCCTTTTATGATCAGCCACCACTGTATTTAATGTGACTAAAAGTGGTTTATTTGAAAATTACATTTTGCCAAATTGCAATTATATTGCAAAAAGAATTAATTGCTCCCTGCATCCCTACTGCAAACTAAACAAAACATAGCCTTCTACAAAAACAGATGATCCAGGAGAGCAGAGGGATGGTCAGTTAGCCATCCAGGAGGGCTACAGAAGCTCTGGGGGAGCTGCAGACTTCAACAAAGTTATCTGATCATAAACATATCACTTACCCACACCACAAATAGCTTTTTTATGGAAAGATTGTGAAAATAAAGCCTTGATGAATTCTTGTTGAATCCCACAAGTTGTGCTGAAACGGTTCAGCTCACAGAAAATAGAAAAAAAGGAAACATATCCAGAAAATGCATTTTACTTTAGTTTATCTGTATCACCATCACAATTTTAAGCAGTAAGGTCCTAATTGCCTGCTTTCTGAAATCATGCAGCTCTAATGGAGACCTTTGCAGGGCACTCTAATTTGGCCTTATGGCATAACAGTCAGGACCAGAAGGAGAACTTCTCATTAACTATCCTGTTACTTTTTAACCATCAAGCTCACTTCTTTGTCCAGGTTCCACTCTAAGGGCATCTCGTAATCCCCATGTTTATTCTTACTTTTTCAAATAAAGTTATTTCCTGTCATCTGACCCTCTACACATTACATCTATAAATCCCCTCGGAGACATGTTGCATTGACATCTACTAAGGTAGTCATCAGAACGCGTGCATCTTGGAAACTATCCACACCTTTTTATGGATGCCGTATATCTTCTACAGCACCTGTACATAAACATACACAGACCTGTACAGACAAAAAGCACCATTTACTTTAATATTTACATTTATCCTTGCAGGTGTGATAGCCGTGATGTTTGTTTTTAACCATAACACCAAAGCTGTGATAGCCACTGCCCGGTAGGGCTGGTTTGACGGGTTCTTTCTCACAAACGTGTGCCGCATTATGCGGACGCTGTGACACTGTGGCTGAATGTGTTCAGTCTCAAATAACAGTTTGCATCAACAGTATAAAACAAACTAGGTCAACGAACTTGCTGTAAAGGATACGGAATAATATCCAGGTGTTGATGCATTTCTGAATTACAGGTTTGATTCCTGGAAACGTACTTTTATTCTGAGGCTCCAATTATAGGAAATCTGCAGGATCTAATGTTTACTATAATTATTTAACCTTAAGTAACCTCCACTGTAGCTTTACAGTTCACACAAGAATGAAGGGAAGTTATTTTTAGCAACTGACTCCTTAAAATTGATCTAAATCCACATTCCCATTACTTTCCAAACTAAAATGAATCCCTTGATAATTCATCACCTCAACACTAATAACATCCAGCAGTTTTTTATCTAGATGAATTAATCCATTACAAACTACCAAGAAATGTTGTCCCACTTTCATTTGCAGCATTGAGTCAGTTCATTCAGTTTTTTAAGCATATTATTAAGCATATGCCTTGGCTTTGAGTTATTGCAACACTAGTTTGGTGAGATTTCCAAATTAGTTTATAATCCTTCCCCTTTTTAATGTCCATATTTGACCTTAGATCATTAACCTGTTAGCCAGTGGAGCTCATAGCATTTCACTTGAACCTTATTGACAGCTGTTTAATGACATACAGCTTAGAAAACATGAGTTGAAGATCAATGGTATAATTTACAGGAAAAAAAAAACAGAAATTGGAAACAAATCAGAAAAAATAAAAACAATAAAAAACACCTAAGAGGTCTGTTGTTTCATGTAGATTAAAATAATCGAAGGTATAGTCGAGGATTTTCGTAAATTTTTGAAAAGACCCGCCCTCTCCACTTAAAAAAAATAAATAAAAATGCACATGCACAACCCTGTACCTCCAGAGAGGGAACGTCTATTAAATACTTGCAAGAGCGTGCACAAGCTCACTTTCTCCTCGTGCACGCTCTGTTTAAAAGTTGCTGTTTGCATCGCTCATACAGGCTTACTTTCCAAAAGAAGATTTGCAATTTTTCCACTATGTCAGACTCACCACCGGTAAAGCCGGGCACACACTATACGATTATTTTTGCCCTTTTCAGGCCAATTCTCGTGTGAGAATTTTTCGATCAGGCCTACTTTCAGCCTCGTCGTGCGTTGTGTAGTGTAGTGTACAGGGGGTAACGAGGGGCGATCAGCCTCTAACGACCACCCCCCGATAAGGAATCGTAAAGTTTGGAGGAAATCATGTTTGAAATTCAGTTGGCCATCGTAGGGTCACATCAGAGCGTCGGGCCGCACAGTGTGAGAACACGCATAGTGAGCTGTGAACTTTTAAACCCTGCGGTTTTGTCGTACAGTTTGAGCTGTAGTTGAGTACGTGGTACAGCCTTACATGAACATATCACCAGAATGATTGACAATTAGGAGGACCACTTATTTAGATGATCCACCCGGAAAGAGAAAATCCTCCACTATACCTTAAGTAATTGATTATTTTGACTTTTTTCTTTTCTTCTTCTTATTATTTTTTTTTACAAAGGTATTCCAATATATTTTAATAACTAATTTTAAAGTTATAAAAAGAGGGTATTTTTTTCTGCCAAATCATTTTATCTAAATAACTATTTCCCAAAACAACGATTTAATTCATTGTGTATCTTCCATTAGTTGTTATATTTGGATTAGTGACTAGAAGAAGCATTTCAAATTTGAACAGAAAGATTTGGTTTATTTTTACGGTAGATACAGCTTTGCAAGTGGAACCAATAGAAGCAAATCAACTAAAATATGCTCATTGGTTACATCCTCACATCCTCCAAATGTACACAGTGGAGTTCATAGCTGCTTTAATGAAGTTCTGGCTGTCCCTATATTGATATGACGTGTTTGGATTTGAATCAAAGCAAGCAGGGTTCATATAAGACAATCACCTTTATCATAGTGTCTTTAGTCTGAAATGTTGATTAAAAAGCTGAAAGAAGGCTGCTTTATTCTTGCTCTCAATCTATATCTATTCAAGCTAAAAACTGCAATGTGATGAGCTTTAACATCTGATGGGCAAAAAGGTCCAAAATGGAAATACTGCAGTTTTAAATGTTATCCAACTGTGGGGAAAAAAATTGCAAAATTGTTATTCCTCAAAGGATTGGTAGCAATATTTAGTGATTTTCATCTTTAACTGATGTATAATATTTTGTCACTCCCGTACTTTTGAAAAATAAAACCCCCATCATAATTGATAATAATAACCATTAGTTGGTAAAGCTGCTTCTCTTTAAGTTCTGACAGCCTTGTTATTGTGTTACCACCCACCTGTATGCGTTTGACTAACAACTTGACCAGAGTTGCTGATTATAAACTAATCATCAGCAACTAACTTCTTCCCTAATAAGTAATGGCAGTGATGAAGCTGTTGTGCTTTAGGATATCAGATCTTGTACTCTCCCTAAATATTCCTCCAGCACCCAGAGGCTTGAAAACAGCAGGGATTTTGCAACTTTGATTTGTTGCAACAAGATTTTATTTCTCCACAAAGCCCCATCTTACTCCACATACTGCACACCAAGCCTATGTGCTAAAATCAGCTTGTGGTGCATTAACGAGAATAAGAAAAAAAAACCTTCAGGCAAACATATTAACGGCTCCTTTCTTTTTCGTTTGCGTATCAGATGGAGCACTTTGCGCTGCAGCTCAGGACCTGTTATCAAAGTAACATGACTGAGGACAAAATCTACTTGGAATGAATGACTGACTAAACAGTTTTATGCAAACCGATCAAAGCGGATTAGAGCTAGGGTTGCAACTTTCAGGCAGCCTGAGTGATTTGGGAAGCTGCATAAATGTTTATTAAACCTGGGAAAGTGTTTGGAAGATACCATCTTATGAAAGAGGGAGAAAAAATGATGGGAATTAACCCAGAATAGAACTGGACCCTCATTTTTCTCTTTGTTAAATTGCATAAGCAGCAGATGGTGCAGCTCTGACTGAAAGAAAACAGTTTGAAGGTGGGATATAAAAAGCTTTCACAGTTTATAAAGCTTGCTGTTACATAAACTATTTGAGCTTTTATTATTCTTTTTTTTTTTTTCGGTTTTGTTGACCTAGATTCCCCGAAAAAGGTCTTAATCACAAGACAAAGAGACCTTAGGGTGCTGACTTCTGGCATTTTAGTTAACTCACATGTGCTCCTCTTGTTAGTTTATCTTGAAGAGTTTAGGTTTGACTTTTAATCTAGATATTATAAACATGTGGGGTCAGCTCCTGGTGCATTTCCCAGAACTGTGAGCCGGACCTAAATTCCTCTGAGATGCTAAATATAGTGCATGGAAGCACGACAAAGAAGAACGTGCTTTAAGACTCATCAACCAGCTGCTGAATATTTCCCAGCAGTAACTGTTTCTAAGGCAGGGTTTCGCTGTTCTACAAAGCTGGTGTCCCACACTGGAAAAGAAGAGGACCTATTAATCCATCACAAAGAGAATCTGGTGAAAGTCCCTCCAAAAATCTCCGAGAACTAAAAAGGAAATGTTATTCACTCTGCTTTCAATTTCCCCCTTTCATTGTTCTCATTTATTGATTTGCTGAGAGGTATGCTTAATGCTCTTGACCTCCAGTCTGGAAACATAGCCTGCTCCAGAGAAGATTAGGTTTCCAGCATGGTAACCATGGCGACAAACCCAGAGAGGAAGTGAACCAGCGTTGTCAAACTTAATTTAAGAACCTACAGTTAGCAAGCCAGTAATCCTGCTTTTAGTAAATATACCGTCTGAAAATGTGAAATCTTTTTCAAAATATAGAAAATTTCACATTATGACAGTTGACTTTTATATCTCTGCTTCTTTCTGCATCTCTGCTTCTGTCTCCTTGAACCCCAGTCGGCCTCGGCAGATGGCCGCTCACACTGAGCCTGTTTCTGCTTGAGGTTTCTTCCAGTTAAAAGGGAGTTTTTCCTCTCCACTGTCGCTATAAGCATGCTTAGGGATTGCCTTCAAGTCAATAAATCGATACAATAAGCTGGTTTTCCTTAGATAGAAAACTTTAAATCAATTTGACTGTATGATCTGATTGAATTGTATGGTGCCTTGAGATGACATGTGTTGTGAATTGGCACAATATAAATAAACTGAATTGAATAGACTGGTGCATAAAAATGAAGCCTTTCAAGTGTTGAAATTGTGATTACAGCAACCAAAAACTAAAAAATACTCTCTAAAAAAATCTATACTATTTTACATTAGATTAATTTATTTAAACAGGTACTTAAAATTTGAAATTGTAGCCCATTGAAAAGTGTTATGGAACAATTCCTTTATCAGAGTAGTATGGCATAGAGGTGATAGGCCTGTGGAGCTACTGAAATGCTGAGGAAGCCCGGTTGTAATGATTAGGGCTGAAAAATTAAGCCAAAAATAATAATTGTGATTATTTTCAACCAATATTGGGATTTTCCTTTATAAAAGCACAACTATGTCGACCTTTCTTTTTTTTAGCGGTTTTTATTGTCATTACACTGTCACGAGTACAGTGCAACAAAATGAACTCTGCATTTAACCCATCCCCTTGGGGAGCAGTGGACTGCCATTGTGCAGCACAGTGTGGGATTAAGTGTCTTTGCTCAAGGAGCCAGAGTAGCAGTCTGTGGGAGTGGGACTTTAACTCACAAACTCAGGATTGCAAGCTCTATGCCCTAACAGCTAGGCCACCACTCCCCTTTACTACAAGGTTTTTTTTTTCATAAGCCTGACAGCCTGCTTGTCCAGAATCAAGTGCTGCGGGACTTTGCTGTAACATTTGAATGAAAAATCTCTTACTTCTTCTACAATGCAAAGATCTAGGAGCTAGCTGCCACCTTGTTCCCTTTTGTGCGAGGTGGCAGTCCCTTAGGAGGCAGTCATCGTATCACCGCCACCTAAGGGAGAAATTTAGTGTCCTAACCTTGTTAGATCTATTGTGACTAAAACTCAGTGCCTTTGCGTTTTGAAAATTGCGTTTCTCTAAATTGTGATTATATTGCAAATGGAATTAATCGCCCAGCCCTTGTAATGATTCTATAGTCATTTTAGCAGCATTGCTAAGCTTGGCAATAAGGAGCATAAGTATAGCTAAAAAAAAAAAAAAAAAAAAGCAAGAGTGATCTAAAATTTTCTGTAAAATTGTTATGCTGACTTTAGAGCTGACAAAAACCAACTCATTATTGAAACTTCAAGGAATATGGACTCTTGGACCTTCATTTGCTAAATGAATAAAAAATACCTTAATCTACAAAAGAGAACAGTATCTCCTTATACCCAGGGTGAAACACTTTTTAATTTTGATTTGACTCAGAAGGCAGTTTAACTCAAGGATGTTGACATGTTTGCACATATCTGTGATACATCTATGTGGTAGCTCATAAAAAATTTCTTGAATGCAGTTTTCCTCACAATCAACTCAAAGGTCCTCACTTTTCCTTTCTACTCTATTTTCTATAAATATGTAGGGCAATATGTGGTCAGTCAGCTGATGGATTTATTTATTAAATTATTTTCTAATTTTAGTATGACAGGATTGAATTAATAGACTTTATATGATGTTTTGTTTTTGGATATGCCTGTAAGCCAGGGTGTAGAATAAATGTTAGGCATAGAGCAGCATTGATGAAAAGAAAAGAAAGGGGGGGAAAAAAACCTCTGCTGACACCAACCTGGGAGCTGACGTAGAGCTGCAGACACTCGTCACACACGGCCTTCCCGCAGCAGGGCAGGGGTGCGCTGGTTTTCTCCTCCAGGCACACCCGACAACACTTCATCCCATTCTCAGCACCGGCCTGCACCCGCTCCAAGCGGTGGGACATGTCTCCAAATGGGTCCACCAGGTCATCCAGCGTGTACATCGCCTGTTCGATGCCCATTCCCCCAACATTTACCGCCTCCAATTCCGTTCCTGTCTCCCCTGATAAAGCAGCGTCATCGTGACGGTCCGTGATTTCAGCGTCTGTCCGTTGAGATTCGTTGGCAATGCAGTAAACCGTACAATAGACGTGCTCTTTGGCACTACAGGACTCAACTACAGTCACCGTGTTGCTTTCATCCTCAGCTCTAAGATGGCGTTTATCACTAACAGTTAAGAGTTTAACTCCTGTAACATCTGAAGTCAAGTCAATAGAGGGTGGTTCGTTTTTATCACCAGGTTCCCCCGTTTCAACATCCGACTTTTGACGCTCACCACTTTGTACTCTACGTACTCCCGTAGATATGTTAATACTAGTTTCTCCGCCTGTCCCATGTTCCACTCCGTACTGCATCCGAGTTTTTGTACTTAAACAGAGAGAAGATGACTTGTTATCTCCGAAATTCCTTCTCAGAACCTCCACGGCGCTCGCCCTTCTCCTCCTGGCTGCTCCGACTCCTCCGCTGTTGCAGTTGTTGTTGTTGTTGCCCTCTGCATCCCTCTCTCTCTCGCCACTTTTCTTCCCCGTCCTCCCGATGACACCATCGAGGGACAACCGGGAGTTGGACCGGATGACAGGTCGGTTCAGGTCCACAAACTGCAGGTGAGCTTCACCTTCTGTGATGGAAGTTCCCGTTGGATGGTTGTGGGACGATTTCTCCCTTCCCTCTTCCAAATTGCTCATAAAGATCGGCATCTCCCGGGCGTCAGCTATCGTTTCGTCATCTTCCATCCCCGATTTAGCTCTCCCCATTTAGAGAGCAGGTCTTCCACCAGCAGGACCTCTTCTGTCGGCCTTCCTCTGCTCCTCCAACTCCCTGTACCAAAACAAAACAAAGCGAACAGCAGCTTCCCGGTGCTGACGTAAGCACAGAGGAGAGCACTGATAGGCTGATGGGAAACCTAGTGGTGGAGAGAAGGGATGCTGCTACTGTACAGCAGAGGAGCTCAAACGATCTTTAACCCCCCCCCCCCCAAATCAGACTATAATCTCAGAAGTCTGACTTTTTTCTCCTAATTATTTTTTTTCTTAGAATTCAGCCTTTAATCTCAGAATTCATACTTTTTTCTCAGAATTCTATCTATCTATCTATCTATCTATCTATCTATATATATATTTATATATATATATATATATA